GCGCGGGCTGGGGGGGACGGCGTGTCGCGATACCGGCTGTCGCGATACCGGGCGGGCAGAAGGAGGGGTCCCGGTGTACGGCGGGGCGGGGGCGGCGCCGGGGGGGCGGCTCCCGGCGCACAAAGGGCCGGCGGCCTCCCCGCGCCCCCGGGGCCGCCCCCGCGCCGAGGCCCAATAAACGCCGCCGCATTTGAACCGGGCGCCTCCCCCGGCAGCCGCGCTCCTGCTCCGCACCGCTCCGCGCACCGGCAGCAGCGCCGGGTGAGCTGGGGCCGGGGGGGGGGACCCCGGTGCGGTGGGGGGGACCCCAATATTGGGGGGTGATGGGGATGGTGAGGAGGGGAACCCCAACACTAGAGGGTGATGGAGAGGGTGGGGGTGATGGGGAGGGGGCACCCCGGCACCGGGGTGGTCCTGGGGCGCAGCCCATCACCCTTTAGAGGTTGGGTGCTGGTGGGGGGGTCCCTGGGATGTGCCAACCCCCCCCAGTAGCCCTTTAGTGAGGGTGGTGGCGCTCCAAGCAGGTGAGCGGCACCGCGGTTGGGGTGCCCGCTCCGCCGCGACCCCCGGGTGTTTCGCCCTTCGTCCCCCCCCCCCCCCCCCCTTGGGGCCGCCCCTAATACCGGAGGTGCTGCGCGCCCCCCTCCCGCCCCGGGCCCTCCCGTTCCGGGGAGGCGGCGCCGGGCCGGCTCTGCCCCGGCTGTGAAAGCCGCAGAAAGCTGCCGGGGGAGGAACTGAAGGCAGCGGGGGGGGGGGTTGTCGTTTGTCGCCGCCGAAGCCCCCCCACCGCTGCAGCAGCAGCCGGTCCCCGGTAGGAAGCCATGGGCACGGCGGCTCCGGCGCATCCTGGGCGGTGGGCGGCACGGTAAGGATAAGGGGGAGCGGGGGGAGCCCCAAATCGGAGATTTTTTTTTAGGGTCAGCGGCAGGAGATGGGGTCCGAGGTGTTTTGTTTTTTTTTTTCCGTGCGCCCTGCTTGGCGCAGCCGCATCCGTCCTTGCGCATCGCCTCCAGCCCCGGTGCCGCAGGGATGAGGGCGCTCGGCGCCGTGCCTGGGTGCGGGGGGAGCCGTGATTCAGCCCCGGGGGGGGGTGAGCTCCGTGGGGGCTCTGCGTGCCGGCAGCAGCTCGCTTGGCATCCCCAAAATCACCGCCTTCGGGTGCGCAGCGCGGGTCCCCCCGCGCCGGGGGCTCCCCGAGTGGCCGCGGCGCAAATCCGGCCAGATGGGTGCTTTTGTTTTTGCTTGGTGGCGGGCGGGCTGCTGGCTGAAAGGCCCCATTGCCATGCAAATATCGAGGTGGCGTGAATATTCAAAGCGCTGCGCAGCCTTTTGAAGCTCTTCACATCAATTTCTGGCGCTTAACGTGCCGCCGCTCCGCCGCTAATCTGGGGAGCGGGGAGGCTGGTTAACAGGATCCCCTTTATCCGCAGGATTTGGGGGGGGGGGTTGCTGTGTTTTTTTTTTTTTGGGGGGGGGGTGGAAGGTGGCATTGAGGTGCAAAGCAGCCCGGTGCCAGGCTGTGGAAATTATTGCGGTGCTCAATGGGGAGGAGGAGCCGCCAGCTGGACGGCTCACGGTGGTGGTGACCCCTGAAGAGCCGGGCGTGCTGCGAAGTGATTTAGGGAGCCGAAGTGATTTACTGACACCCGGGGGCTTCGCTGCCCCCTTGTTGTTTTCCTTCCCCTTGCCTTCTTGCCGTTGTGCGACCTGCAAAGGAGCCACAGCTCCCCGAGAGGGGATGGCATGCTATGGGGTGGGACCTGGCGTGGGTTTAGCTCAGACATCTCCCCGGAGCAGGCGTCGGGGTCTGCGGTGTGAGCACTGAATCACAGCTGGGGTGGGCGAGACGGATCATTAGGGAAAGGAGACAATAAGTTGAGATTAATCCAGCTCCGGCCTTTTGGCTCCAGAGCCCCATTTCTGTGGCTGCTGAGCATCTCGGAACAAAACCCATCAGCGCGCCCAGGTCCTGGCCTTTCTTGGCAGCTGCGTTCCCATCACCCTGGGTGTCAAAGCGCAGAGGGAAGGTGCTGTTAACCTGCCCAGGGTGACAATGGTCACATCCTGGAGCTGCTGTCGTGTTTTGGATGTGGCCATGAGATGTGGCTCCAATGGGTGCTCTAATGGTGCAGGGATCGATCGGGCAGCGTGCGTCTCCTGGAGTTCGAGGCTAAAGCTTTTGGAGGCTGATGTCGATTCAGCATTCGCTGGGCTAAGTGGTAATTACGATTTTGAGCCTGTGTTATTTGAGTTAAATTTAGCTGGGAACGTGCTCGCGTCAGGCCGCTGCGTGGTGTGCTGTGCTCTGAAGGTTATCTGGCTCTCCGGAGAGGCTGGATTTAAAGGAAGGAAAGAAATGCTGCCCAAACTTCCTTGTCCCATTATTCCTTGCTGCCAAGGACTTGTTGTAGGCAGAGCAGAAATTGAAGGAAAAGCCCATTTTTCCTAAACCTGCCCGGTTTCCTCAAGCTGCCCATTTGGGAGGGGGACTTAAAATGACCCATGAGGCTGAAGATAAATGCCAGCAGAGTGACCCCGGAGGGGCTGGGGGCCCCTCTCCCCCCCTCTGTGTGCCGGGGCAGCCTGGCCCAGCTGCCGCCGGTGCTGAGCGCCGCTATTATCCCGCCAGCCGCCCTCCTGCATCTCAGCTGCTGGCCCATCTGGAGCCGAGATGAAAGGGCTGGGCTTTAATTCGGGGCTTTGTGCTGCTGCTTCGTGTTCCCCCCCCCTCCTTTCTCAGCCCTTTTCTGCTGCCAATCCCCCCAGCCCATGGGTTTGGGTGGCTTTGGGCACCTTGGTGCCGCTGCCCTCGTTGCGCACAGGGCAGGAGCTCCCCGGTACCTCCCGAGCCGGGCAGGTAGGAGGGTGTGGGGTGGCTTTTTTTTTTTTTTTTTTATTCCCCTGAAGCTCTGCTGAATAATTCAGCTGGGAGTAGGCATCTTGGGTCACCTTGCACAGCCGGCTGCCTAAGATGGAGGTTGTGCAGGATGCGTGCGGCACCGCCTGGCTGCCGGCAGCGCGCCGCCACTGACCGCAGGTAGGCGAGGAGCTGGGAGGGGATCCTATTCATTTTCTGGTTTTTTTTATCCTGGGAAAGCCTGGAATGTCCCCCTCTGGCTGTGTGGGGTTGGTGGGGTCTCTCCCTGGTTGTATTTGTAGCCTGGTGAGCTCCGGCTGTGCCTCTCTGCCAGGCTGCCCCAGACACCGTGCCCAAAAACTCACCGAGGGCCCGGCCCCAGACAGGGATCATGCACCCCATGCTCTTTGACCACCCTATTTTCCTCCCTGGTTTTATGGGCTCCCCATCCCTTCTCCCTGAGCATGCCTGGGCTCATCCGGGGTCAGTTTTTTGGGGCTGCTGCGGCACCGAGTGAGGGGCTCGGCTGGTGACCCCAATACTGCAGCAGCACCGGTGCCCAGGGACACGCCGGGAGGTGGCACCGAGCTCTTTGCCCTACCTAACTGGGGGAACTGGTTGTGGCGGTGTGGAATTAGGGTCGGGAAAGGTCTCTGGGGGACAGGAGGTGGCTGAACCTGAAGGGAAGAGGCTAAAAAATGCCTGGGAATTTCCACAGGCTGGAGTCTGGGGGCTCTCAGGGTGGCGGCGATGCTGGTACCCAGCACCCTGGGATCGAGGGGGAAATGGGGTTACTGGCGTGAGAAGCAAGAAACCAGTTTGCTGCCTTCCCTCTGCTTGCAGGCAGCTGGGGTTTTGGGTGCTGACTCCTCCTCTGCACCCCAGGTTGAATGCAAACGCGTCTGCACCCTCCCTGGGTGCTTTGCTAAAGCAACTCCAGAGGCTCCTGGGGGGTGAAAAACGGGGGACAGGGAGGTCGAGGAGCTTGGGTGTGATGATATGGGGCTGGCTGCATCTCTGTAGGGAGGTCTGGCTCTGCTGCTGGCCTTGTGGTGTCCCTTTGGGGTGGGAGGGCAGCCAGGCTGGGCTATTTCTGCCCCATGGACCCCACACCCTTTGGCAGGCACAGGGAGCATCCTCTCCAGCCAAACCCCGAACCCATCGAGGTCCTGGCTGCAGCACCTGCCCCGCAGGTGTCCGAATTCCCAAATTCCTGGTCGGCCTTCCCTGGTCACACCTCTGCTGCAGGGTGTGTGTGCAAGCTGATGGCTCTGACAGCTGATCCCTGTTTATTTTGGGGTGTCCATGAGCACGGCTGGTGGGGGCAGAGGTGGTGGGAGGAGGAGAGGGGTGGCTGTGCCGTGGCAGGGGGCTTGGAGATGAGCTCCCCTTTGGGATTTGGTGGCCCTGCATGCAGGGACTGTGTGGTGGCACTCGGTTGAACGGAGGCCAGCCAGATCCTGCATTTCGGATGGGGAATTTCTCTCCTTGCCCCCTCCTCCCAAACCAATTCCTGGGGCTGGGGCGCTCTGACCGGTGCCGCTTTGGAGACGCAGCTCCTGACTGGATGGAGATGGGGAGGGCGAGCCCCCGGGCGGTGCCAGGGCAGCTCCTGGGGCTGTCGGCTCGTGCAGCAGAGGAGAAATGATCCAGCTCTGCTCCGGGGCTGGCTCCGTGCCCTGCTGCTGCCCTGGCTGCAGTGCTCTGAGCTTTGTGCCCTCTCCTGGCGCAGTGCTCTGAGCTTTGCCTCCGGGCAGGGCCTGACCTCGAGTCCCCGCAGCATGGGGACAGGGCAGTGACCCAGCACGGGGACATCCAGCCCAGCTCAGCACAACGGGGCTGCGTGGCGTTGCCCCAGCTCTGCGCGCATGCAAATAATGCAAATAATGGGGAAGGTGCTGGTTTGGGGTGTCTGCGCCGTGCCTTCTTGCACCATGGTATCCGTGTGCCAAGGGGGCCACGCGTGCCCGTAGCTGCTGCCTGCCAGGGTGCAGATATCCAAAAAAAAAAACACACATGAGGTTGAAACTGGTGGCGTGGGCTGCTGCTCCGTCAGCCCTTGGGGTTTTTTCTGCACTGCTTTGCTGTGGGAAGTCCTAACCATCCCCATCTCCCCCCGCAGGTGAGCGCGGCAGGCTATGGGATGGATGAAGCTGAGCAGGACCAGTATGAAGCCCGCCTCAAGGAGCTCTTCGACAGCTTCGACAGCACGGGCACGGGCTCGCTGGGGCAGGAGGAGCTCACCGACCTGTGCCACGTGCTGCACCTCGAGGAGGTGGCCCCGGCGCTGCAGCAGACCCTGCTCCAGGACAACCTCCTAGGCAGGGTAAGGCCGGGGTGGGCACCGGTTTTGTCAGCCCCATGGGCACTCTCCCCGTGGCAGAGCTGCTTGGTGCTGAGTTGTTTGGACTCCAGTTTCCCATCAAAACGCAGCTTTCACAAAGCAAACTGGTTCCTTCAGGGAACAAATCCTCCTTTTCCTTGCTCGCCCCGTGGCTGCAGCCCTTCTCCTGACGGTGGCGTGGAAGCAGGAGCCGATCCGGGGGGGTTCCCAACCTTTGCATTCCCAGCGTGGCTTTTTGCTCCAATCCCAGAGATTTCCCGTGCTGCTCGGCCCCCTCAGGCTCCTGCCACGTGGATGCTGTTGTCTGGTTTTGTGGCTCACGCTCACCCCGTTCCAGCTACGAGCTCAACCCCTTCAGGCTGCTCTGGGTGCGCGAGGGACCCCAAGGAGGATTTTTTCCCCTCTCTTTGTCTGCAGGGATGGCTCGCGCTCACCACCCTGCCATAACAACCTGCCCCTGGCATTTCCCTGCGTCTCCTTGGTGTCTGTGCTCGTTAGCAGCACCAGCAGCCCGTGGCTAAGCTCTGGGGTCCCCCGGGTTTCCTCGGGACCCCGTCGGGAGCGCGGTGCACCGCAGATGGTGGCGCCTGGCGGAGCCGCCTTTGTTTTGGTGCTCTTGGAGGGGCCCCGTGGAACGGGAGGGCACCAGGGGGAGCGTGCTGTCTGCGGGGCCACGTGCTGCCTTTTGTGCCGGGGCTGTGCCGTGAGGATAGATGCAGGGCGCTGGGGGGTGCGGAGACACACGCGGTGCCCCCCCCGGCTCCGTGCAGCGCTTTGGGGATTAAGCGGCGCACGCTTTGGTCGGGGTCCCTCAGGGTTGAGTAAATCCTGCCTCGCAGCAGAGCTGGACCATCCCAAATGCCTCTTCTCACGCGATGCTCGCAGCAATTCCTGGCATTCCTCCGGGCAGGCTGCCTGCTCGGGGCCCCAGGCTATGCATGCAGCCCCCCCCCTGCTCCTCCAGCCCCCCCCTGCGATACCCATCAGTTATCAGCTAATGCGGAGTGGCGTTTGGGAACAGCACAGTGGTGGTGCCTGGGTGATGTGAGTGGCAGGGACAGGGCGAGTCGGGCACCTCCAGACACGGGGCTGTCCTTGGTGGCCGTCCCCAGCTGGGGACGGGGAGCTCAGGTGTCCCCAAACGCTGGTGGTGCGCCACGGTGTCGATGAGCCGCTCCCCGTCACGAACGGCGCTTTTTAGCACACCAAGCAGGAGATTTGGGATCAGGGTGCCCCATTCCCATCCCATCCCACCCAGACCTCCCCCCCAACCCCCTGTATGCTGCAGGAAGCAGCCCACGAGTGGGGACGGGGCTCTGGGGAAGGCTCAGTGGGGATCAGGGAGCTGCGAGGAGCCGCCGCCGCTCGCTTTCCCCGGGGACCACGGCTGCAGACGGCTGCTTTGCATTGCTGGGGCGAGCAGGGAAAAGCAGCAGGTAGCTCGGCACATGCGCGCTCCCTTTCTAGTGCTAACAAGGCGCTGGCTTCATAGGAAGCTGGTGTCAAAGCAGGCGCTGAGCCTGGAGAGGTGCTGGGGACCGCTGGGCAGCCGGCGCTTGGTGTTTGCCCCGGGCTCTGTGTCTGTGTTGGGTTCATTTGTCTCGTTGTCTCGGATTTGCTTGTTTTGGGAACGCTCTCCTCACCGGGGCTTCATGCTCCCAATGCAGCAGGAGGATAAGACCCCACGGTGCTCTCCTCCTGTGCTGGCTGGGCTGGGGGAATTGCCCCGTGTGTTGGCACCGTGGCAGCCCCCGGTGCCCCCAACCCCCTGCAGCTCACCAGGAGACGTGGCCCTGACCCTGCTCCCACCTCCACCCGTGGCCAATTTTGGTTCTTGCGCCCCCCCAGCGAGCGCTCCAGGGGCTGCCGGGGGGCAGCTGGGAGCAGATGCGCGAGCTGCCGCTTCCAAAATACCCCGGGTTCAGCCGAGCATGCTAAAAGGAGCATTAAACTTTAAATACCCTGCCAGCATTTCGCTGCTGAGGGCTTTCTGCCTCGCGTTCAGGCAGCCTTTTGGCAGGGGGCTGGCTCGGCCGTCTGGGGCAGCCTCAGAAGCGCTTTGTCCTGGTGCCGGTGCTGTCCTTCCCCGGCTCCCTCGGCTGCTGGTGCTGTCTCAGCAGAGCACAGAGGCTGTTCTGGCAGGATCCTGCCACCCCAGGGGGCTGCCACAGCAAAGCCAAGGCAAAGGATCTTTAAAAAAGAGATATTTTAGGCTCCGTGGCTTTGCTGTGCCGTGGGTTTCCTCTCCCGGCTTGTTCCGAGCGCAGCTTTAATTTTAGCAGCTGCGATTCTTTGTGCACGGGCGCGCAGCATCCAAGGTCAAGTGTGCAACCCGAGCAGATGCTGCTTTTCCGGGCTCTTAGGATGTGCTCGAGGTTTTCCAGCAGGTCTAACGGGAAGAAAAATCCCTCCAGCTCTCACACCCTCACCCAAAAATTGGGCGCTGAAGGCACGTGGGCTCTCCTTGGGGCCATGCCTGCACGTAGGACACCAGGGACACCTGTGAGCCCCACGGAGCAGCCGTGCCCATTGTCTCCGTGCTGCCCATTTGCATTTTAAATCCAGGGGGTCTGCAGCATTGCCGGCTCTGGCCCCGCAGCCTAATCTTCCTCGGGCTCCCGTGGCCGTGGTCACGGCACAATCGCGGTGCGCGGAGCCATCTGGCCTGCAGCTGCAGCTGGGGGGGGCACAGGGTGCAGCCCCCTCCTCCGTCCCCTTCGTTCCTGCTCAGAACCTGCCCTGTGGTTTTTTCCCTGCCCATTTATTCTAAATTTTCTAAATTTCAAGTTGTTTTTTTTTTTTTTTTTTTTATCAAGCATCTTCTATCTCTGTAAACTGTCCTGGTGAAGCGCACACGTGGCCGGACCCCTGCCCTCCTCGCTGCCGTGCCTGTCCCCCGCTTCCCTAAATATAAAGGCTTCTGTTCGATGCCAAAAATTCCCCCTAAGGTTTCTAAAATTCCCCCTAAGGTTTCTGCAGCCCAAAGGAGTCGTGGTGGCCAGCTGTGCCATGCCAGAGCTTCCCCAGCTGTCCCCACGTTTCCGCCTCGCCGTGCCGGGGCTGGCATTGCTTGCATTCCCCGTGGGGCTCTAACCCCCTTGCAACTGTTCGTGGCAGAGGCAGAAAGAGGTTTTTTTTGGGAAGATGCAGATGGGATAAAGCAGCACTGAGATCATCCCTCCCTGGTTCTCCTATAGACCAGACCTGGTGTTTCCAGGCCAGCAGCAGGGGCTGCAGCTTTCTGCCATCAGCTCCAGAAAGGATTTTCGGGCATGTGGGGCCACTGGGCATCCCCACGAGCTCAAAGGCACTGCCTGTGCCCCTGTTGTGGTTTCTCCAAGGCATGGTCCTGGCTTGGTGTCATGATCTGTTCGGGTGTTTTGTTGCCTTGCTGCCACTCTCCTGCGGGATCGTTAGCCTGATATTTAATCACCTGTGCCAGCTGATCCCTTCCCTTCTTTTTTTCCACAGGTGCACTTTGACCAATTTAAAGAAGCACTCATCCTCATCTTGTCCAGAACCCTGTCAAATGAAGAGCACTTCCAAGAACCAGGTAAATGCTGAAACTATCAAAAAATAGCCTGTTTCCCTAGGAAAAGCAGGCTTGGGTGGCTCTCACAGAGAAACTCGGAAGAGAAAAAGCTTTCTGGGTGCTGAGGTGGGCACTCCTGCTCCCAGAGAGGAGAGCAAAAAAAAAAAAAAGATTATTTTTTTCTCCTTCCTTTGTTTCCCTATGCTTTTTAGATGTTTTTTTTCTTTTTTTTTCTTTTTTTTTTTTAAAGCCTTGGCACAAGATCGGGTCACAGCTCTGGTATCCCCCTCCCAGCGCACGCGGCTGGGGCTGAGCCCCCGCAGCCCAGCTGGAGCAGGGGGGGCTGAGCTCTGCTCACACACACCTGTATGTAAATCCAACCCTAATCCTACCCGCCGAGCAGCGGGGTGTGAAATCCCCCAGGGAGAAAAGAGCTTAGCACGGGGCCGAGGGGAACTCCAGGCTCCTCCTGGAGCATCCATCTCGGCTCTGCCCTTCGAGCATCCTCGCTCAGCAGCGCAGCCAGGCAGCAAAATGACAGCTTCCCCCCCCCCAAAAAAAAAAAACAGGCTGGAAAATAACCCTGCAGAGCCCAAGAGATGCAATTGATGGAGAGGAGCTGGCACGGGGCGGGAGGCAGCCCCGGCACCCCAATGAACCAGAACTAATCCGAATCTCCGCGTTTACGGGGGAATCATATGGCTGAGAAGCTCTGGCTTTATCTAAACACAAAGAAATCTTCTAGAAACGGCTAAATTTGGGGTTATCGCAGGGGAAATCAGCCTGGAAGAGGAGCGTGGGGGGGTGGAGAAGCCCTCCTTGGGGAATTTTGCCAGCCAGGCTTGGTGCAGCAGGTAGGGAGCCGGGCACGGGCAGCCCCGGGAGGCATTTATTTTTTAATACGTTTTGACAGGTTGGTTAACGCCGAAGCCCGCGCTGCTTTTAATTTAGATCAAACTCGAGATTTGGAGAACAAGCTGCTTTGTGCTGCTGGTGTCAAGCTGTCAGCCACCGCCGAAACGCCGGCGTTACAGCCAGCCCTGGGCTGGGGAGGGGGGAAAAATCAGCGTGGAGAGCTCTGCGTCGTGCGATTAAAATGAGAATTTAATTGTGGGGGAAGCACGGGTTTGAAGGCTGCTTGCTGCATCTGCTGGGTTTCCCCCGTAAGGATGGGGCCACGTGTTGGTGCTGTGGTTTCGTGTGGAGCTGGGTGATGGGAAGGTCCCTGGGGTGCGCGGTGACCAGGGGGAGGGATGGATGGAGGGAGGGATGGGCACAGGCTGGGGATGAGGAACCCAAAAAGCTGCGTGGTGCAAAAGCAGTTCCCTAGGAAGGGGTTTCCAGGGGCTTCCCCATTTTGGGAAGGGGGAAGGAGAGCTTGGGAAGGGAGAAGTACAAAGCCACGGGGATGGTTCAGGTGCAGGCCGTGCCTTTTTTTGGCCAAAACAGCCCAGTTTTGGGCCATGGTGCATCAGGCAGGGTCTCCGGGAGCTGCTGCTTCCCTCTGCCTTGTTTGCTGAGCCCAAAATGTGAAATTCCTCTGAGGGCAGGGCAGGGCTGGAGATGATTTCTGTGGGGCAGGAAGGCAGAAAATCGGGTGTGGGTCTCCAGCCGGGGAGCTGGGGAATCGATGGTTCTGGCTGCGGTGCTTCAATTGGGGCTTTCCTTCTGAAATGCAGACTGGTTTTATTTGGTCAGGGGGCTTTGGGGGCTGTGATCTGCCTGTAGGGGCAGGGGGGGAGCTCAGGAAGGTGCCCACAGGCTCCTTTTGGCCATCAGGGCACCGCTGCTGGCTCCTGCAGCTCAGGGGCAGTTGGGGGATCAGATAAGACCCCGGTGTCTAATCAGGCTCTGGCTTCCAAGCATGCATTTTTCTGATTCCTCACGTTGCTGAGGGCTGCAGAAAGCAGGGAGGGTTCGCCCTATTTTCTCCTTTCCACCTTTTTCCCTGTTTGGAGGCCCTCTCCCCATGGGGTGCCGGGGCTCGGCTCCCCAGGAGCCTGAGGTTCACCACGCCTGGGGGGAACAGCACAGCTCTGCATCCCTTGAAGTGCTGATTTTTTGATGTTTCCTTCTTATTTCCTCACCGGCCTTTGAAGCAAGTGTGGGTTAAGAAGCCCTTCCTCATCCTTCCCCATGATTTTGGGCTGGAAATGAGCTCAGCCCTTCGGCGCTCTGCGCTCGGGAAGCACAGGTTGCTGCTGAACCCCGTGTTAACAGAAGCTGTGTGGCTCCAAAAGTGTGATTTATTTTTCAATTTTATATTTTTTTGGTGGTTTGATGGGATCCCTGTGGTTAGAAGCTGGAGCCTCGTGGGGCAGGGGCGAGCTTTCTGCTCTCAGCTTGGGGAGGTCACTGCGCCATCCTGGAGATGTTCCTGGGCCTCAAAACTCTCTGATTTACAGGAAAAATGAGATGCTCAGACCAAAGGGTGGTCTAGGAGTCAGAGTGGAGGGAATTAAGTCAGTTGCCAGCCTCAAATTGCTTAAAATAAAAAATAAACCCACCTCCCATTGCCTGTTTGCAAGGCTTGGCTAAAGGCACCTGTGTTTGTGCTGGGTTTTCCTCACTCCCTGGCTGCTGCCGTGCTTAAACCAAGCCGTCGGGGAGATTGGAAGCCCGACTCAGCATTAGGAAATGCAGAGGTAAATGTAGCAATAACCTGATTAGGGCTTAAATTGCTGCTGCTTCTCCCCCGGCCTTCCCGGAGACAGATGGGTGTAGAGGTGCGGCCGTGTCTCCGCAGAGAAAATTTATTTATCAAGAAAAACACAAAGCTCCCCCCCCCCAGCCCTTCTCTGCGAGGCAATAAATGGCTGAATGGGTAGCCACAAATATTAGCATTTCAGAGAGAGCTGCTGGATGGAGATTGTTCACCATCGGGCAGGCTTTAATAGGAGCGATAAGGCTGCCTTTTGTTCTCCGCCTCTCGCTTAATCAGCCTGTCTTCTCCCTGCGATTTATTTTCTTTTTTATTTTTTTATTTTTTTTTCCTCTCTATCGGCACACTTCATCGCCCAACTTTCATGTGCCGGGTCCCAGCTGCAGCAAATCTTGTTAAAAAACCGGCCTTGTTCAAACACGGGGGCGCCGGGGTTGTTCCCTGGAGCTGCAGCGCGGCCGGATGGAGCGCGAGGCTGGAGGAATCAAAGGCCTCCCAGGCCTGTGTATTTTATAATTCATTGCATAGCTAAGTTGCGGAATATTTTTCCCCCTAACGAGCTTGAAACCTCCTATATCTGAAGGAATATTATCTGAGGAGGCTTTTTGGCACTGGGGGGGGGGGTTTAGGGACCCGTTGCTTCCCGTGCGCCAACGATGGAGAGGTTTCCCCAGCCCTGATCGGTGCATTTATTTCAGCTCCTTGCATTTATTTTTTTTTTATTTTATAAAAAATTGAAAAAGCTGCCGCTCTCGTTGAGCTGCGAGTGGCGAAAAACAAAGATGATCAGGTCCCCGGGGGGGGGGTTTCGACAGCGAGGTTAGCCAACGCCAACACGAAGCGTGCAGAGAGCCTTTCCCTAATTGAATCCCTGGTTAATTTGGTCCTCTGCTTAATTTGCCCCCTGCTCCAGACGTCGGATGACTCGTGCCGAAAATAGCCCGAAACGTGCTTATTTATTTATTTTCTTGTTTTGATCCCTGGCAGCGAGTGCTCGTGGATAATTCAGGCCCCGGAGGCAGGAGGTTGTTGCGGGGGAGCTGGAGCCACACGGAGCCCCCCCTGTAATTAGGTGGCGGCTCCCAAAGGTTGTGGGGACGCCGCTTGGTGCAGGCTGGGACCTGCCCCGGCATCATTGGGATCAGCTCCTCCTTTCGGGCCCCTCGGGGGATGTTCGCCTCCAAATTCAGTTTTTTTTTCCACTTGCCTGCTCGTCTCCAGGCTTTTAATCGAGCTGTGATTCAAGCAGCAGGGGCTGCCCAGGTGTCTGGGTGATCTGGAGGCTCTGGCGATGCCGTCCCTAATTAAACCTGCCCGTCCCCGGTAATGAAGATGAGTGCAGGGAGAGCAGAGCTGACTGCCTTCCCGATCTGAGGCTGGCAAGGCTGACAGGTTTCCCCCAGCACCTTGTTAACCGAGCAAACCCGGTCAGGAAATGGGTTGGGGGTGAGCAAGGCAGAGCTATCGCTGTGTTTTGTGCCGATATTTGCTTTGGGGTGGGACCGGTCCCAACCCTCCGTGCCCAAAATCACGGCGAGGTCCACGCTGCCGGACAGGAGCAGCGGCGCTTTGGTGCTCCAGGAGCTGCCACCAAACCAGCCATGTGCCCAGGAGCCAGGCAGGACCTGGAAAAATGTGTCACCGCCGTGCTTTGTTCCCAAATTTCACAGATTCCTCCCCAGAAGCGCAGCCCAAGTACATCAAAGGTGGCAAACGCTACGGCCGCCGCTCCCTGCCCGAGTTCCACGCGTCGGTGGAGGATTTTGCCGAGGTGACCGTCATCGAGCCGCTGGGTGAGGAAGCACAGCCCCTGCACGTCACTCCCGGTGGCTGCGAGGAGGTGAGCCTTTGATTTTGGGGTTTGTGGGCTGGAGGCTGCGCTTCGCTTTTGGGGTTTGCTTCGATTTTGCCCCTGTGGGCTGAGTTGCTCCCCTCTCTGTCCCGTTTTCTCACCTCCCTCCCCTCCGTTCTGCCCCAACCACTCTTGCTTGAGGTTGCTCTGTCTCTTTGCCATCAGTTTGTGAAATATTTTCTTGTTTTGAGCCTGTGGCCGTGGCCAAGCAAGGTGGGCAGCTCTGCGATGTGCTAGCACAGCATGGAGCTGGTCCCAATGCCCTTGGTGCTCACCAAGCGAAGGGGGTGGTCCCCTCCTGCTGTCCCCCAGCCATCCATTATGCATCTCCTACAGCAGATGACCCCAAAATCTGTTGCTCTGACCCCAAAATCCTGCCCGGGATCAGCTCCACAGAGCTGTGGGTATCCCAGGAGGAGCTGGGCATGCGCCGCGGCGCGGTGACATGTGCTCCCCGTACTCCTGGCCAGTAATTAAAATCTGGCTGCCTCCACAGCTAACGAGGTGTGGGCTGGGAGCGATGCGAGCAGAAGGAGCGTGTCCTCCTCCAGCAGCTCACCCAGAAAAACCCTTCCAGGCCCTGGCGTGTTGGTGGTGGGAGGGCTGGGCAAGGGCACACGGCCATCAGGGAGCTTGGCAAAGCGGCCGTCGGCAGCAGGCGGCTGCCGTGGGACGGTGCTGGCATCTCAGAGCTGTCCCCTTCGTGGTTCAGCCCTTTGTGGTTTCTATCCCCGTTTTCTTTTCCTAGTGAGCCACTTGTAAGGCCGTGCCCCTGCCCTGGTGCCACGGGGAGGGTGCTTAGTGCTGGGCACCCCCCACTCTGAGCAGCGTGGGTGCTAACAGGGCGCACGCTCAGGCTCCGGTTTGGCTTCTCCAAAAAAATCTGAAGGTGAAGGAGAGCCTGGCTGGGTTTGGGCGCACATTAATGTGCATTTCCTCAGAGCTGGGCCTGTTCCAGCCCGCCGAGGGCTTGCCAGACATTGTCAATTCAGCAGTGAGTGCTCAGGAGTGCACGGCACAAGTTTTTGAGTGGGAAGGGGAAATGTGACGCGCTGCTCTCTGCCCTCCTCTTCCCGGCTTCCCTTAGGCTCTCCGCAGCCACCCTGCACACAGGGATGCTCAGCCCTGAGAGGGGAAGGAAGGGAGAAATTTCCAATTCCCAGCTTCACAGCCATACGTGTTACTATTCCTGTGAAGCTGAGCTTTTTAAAAAAAGCTCAAAAAACATTTTTTTTCCCCAAAGGCAGCTTCTTTACCCTGCCTTCTTGCTCGCTGCCCTGGGTGATGCTCACCCACCTCCTGGTGCTGGGCTGCCCTGCCCTGGAAACCAGCACGAATCCTCCCACACCCCCTGGGGAAGCGATGCCCTCGATAGAAGAGGCCACTCTAATTTTATTCCTGGGTTTTAGCTGTTGGGTAGGCGCGAAGGGCTGCTCCATTAACGAGGTCAGCCAATTAGCTAAATCGGTACCTAACAGCCTGGGTGCAGCCGGCAGGGAGCACGGCCTCTTGGTGAGCCTCTCCGGGTGGATGGGGTGGCTAATTCCCTTGAAACGTGAGCCAAAAAAAAAAAAAAAGAACCAGGATAAATCTGTAAAATCTGCAATTTTCATCTTTATCAGCATTACTCTCTCGTTTCTAAGAGGATTGTATTTTGGTATATGTAGAAACTGGTTTCTTGGAGGCGCTGGGGGTCCTGGGGCTGAGATGCTGCCTTGTGCTGGAGGCTCCCAAGGCACTGATATTTTGGGGTTTGACACAACCAGCACCATTTCCCCTTTTTTTTTTATTTTCCTGCTGTGCACATAAACGCGCTGCTGAGTGCGCTCAGGCTGGCTCCAGCTCGGGGTGTTTTGCCAGCCTGAGAACTGGGGCAGCGCGGCTTAATTGGCGCTTGAAAGCAAGCGGTGCCAATTAGAAGGGCTCGGGCTCTGTCTGGGAGGCTTCCTTCCCTCTCAGCCTCTCATCTCGTGTTTGTGGAGCCGGGGAGGGCTGGTCTGTGGGGGATCGGCTGCCCCGAGTGGCTCCGTCACCTCTCCAGGTGCCACCGGACCAAGCCCCGAGCGGCCGGGGCTGAGCTCGGTGGCGTCGCTGCCACCGGGATGTCACCGGGCTCCTGGGCAGCGAGGAATTCGTGGCTCTGGTGGCTTTGTGGATGTGGTGCTGCTGGAGCTGTGACCCTAAAAGCCCCTACAAGCGCAACGTGAAAACTTGAGGTGGTTGAAGCCGCTTCTCTCCAGCCCTGGTTGCTGTCTGAGATCGCTCTATCCCAAAACCTCGATGCAGGGGTGGCCAAATGCTCCCCACCCCAAGGCTGTGCTGACTTCCAGGTCATTTATTGCTGCTTGGCAGCTAAAGATAACTGCGAGGTGGCTCGTGGAGCTCTGCTGTCCCTCAGCAGCCCTCGCTGGGATCATTTGTCCCCCAGCAGAGGCCATGGGGCTGCCAGCCCTGCCGCCAGGGATCGCCTGGCCGCGTGCGCAGCGGGCTCAGCGTGCACCCCTGCTCGTCATCTTAATTAGCAATATATTCCGGGGGAGAACAAAGCTCTGTCTCGCTGGAGCAGATGGCAGGGTGGGAGAGGTTGCTGCGTCGCTCTGGGGAGAGGCCAGGCCGAGCAAACGGCCCAGGCTGCAGATGCTCACCCGGGCCCCGAGCTGGAGGGCGGCGAGCATTGAAAGCCGCGGCCATCTGCTGCTCGGCGCGCGGGGCACGCGCCCGCCCCAATAATGCATTCCTGAGCCCCCCACACCGTGCGTGACCCACATCCAGCTGGAGCATCGCCGCTTGGGGACAATGCCCTGCCTGACACCGCCGTGCGCCGGCCCCAGGCCCCCTTTGTCATCCCCCTGGCGGTGCCGACCCCGAGCCCCCGCGGCACAAAGGGCACCCTGGGGCCCCCCAGGAATGGTGCCAGGGGGGTCGGACAGCTCCCCAGGGCTGGTGGTGAGGGGGTGCCTTGGTGTCTTCAGGTTGTTTTGTGCTCGTGGTTCTACCCTGTGCTGTGGTCTGGGGGCTCCTGGGGTTTTGGCTGGTTTTTTTGGTTTTTTTTTGGAGTGTTTTTGTCTTTTACAAGTCCCCGATGTGAGAGGTTCTGGTGCTAAATGGCCACATTTAGGTTTTTTAAATAAAATGATATTGAGGTGAATATGCACACGCTGCTTATGCAAAAAGCCTTGGATGCAGCAGTGGGTCCCCTTCTGAGCATCACTGCCCACTAACCCCTTGGTGTGAGGACAGGAGCGCAGGGCAGGGGCTGCTTTTAGCACCCAAAGGTGCCTTCTCCCCGCACACCAAGGGCTGTTGTGCATGGACCAGCACTTACAAGGCGGGGTGCTGTCTGTACATTTTGGGGGAGCAGGGGCTGGTCTCTGCTTTTACGGTACCTGTTGCCTCAGCTCCTGCTCTGTGTGATCAGCACAATGGGTTTTTGGGGAGTCTGCCCACCCTAATGGTGGTGGAGCTAGCTGAATAGTGCTTATTTGGGCTGAAATGCACAGATTTTTAGTGCGTTCTTCCTTATGTCCCTGGCTTTGCCCAAAATATCCAGCAGATATTCTGATATCCAGCAGAGCTGCAGGCTCCAGCCCTGTCTGTGCCAGCCTGATTGCTGCCTGCAGCCTCCTGGGGGAGCAAAGATCCCAAATCTCTTGGGCTCCTGCTCTCCTGGGCTCCTGCCCTGGCCCCAAAACCAAACGGGTGCTTGGAGATGCTGCGGCTCAGAGCGGCCCTTCCCTCATCCGGCAGCTGAAACGGGCACAAGCAGCAGAGCTAAAAAAGTCCAGTGACCTAATCCAGTTCCCATGGCAACGCCGTAGATTAATGGCTTTTAGCTGTAATCTGAATGAGATGTATTGAACTTTTCTGTGATGATTTAGAGCCTCTTTATGTCCCGGGTGACTTTGCCATCCAGTCCATCAGCGCCCTGCATGCGCAAGCACGCGCCCGCGGTGGTGGAGAAGCAACATCTGCCGCCGCTGTCGCTAAACTAGAAGTTAATATTGCTGAGCATGGCTCGTTAGCAAATCCCCTTGGCTGGTACAAGGCTGGTGGTGGCAGGGCAGCACATTACGTACGGGAAGTCATTTTGAGCACTGCGCTTCTGCCCTGCTCCTGGTGCTGCCTTGGAGGAAGCAGGGTGGCTTCAGAGCAGCAAAGATTTTTTTTTTTTCTCCTCTGTGTAGCTCAGGGAGCTTGTTGGCAGTGCAGTTTGCTCTCCTGACCCACAGCTATCACCAGCAGAGGTGTTTTGGGGTGGGTTTGGCCAAGCACAGGCTGCTGGCCCCCAAGCTCTGCAGGCAGATGCTTGCAAAATGGGAAGCACAAAGCAGCGAGAGCTTCGTTTCCCACATTGTTCATGCTCTGGGATCAGATGTCCCCATCTCCCTCACGTGTGCAGGTTCATTGCAGCTTAATTACTTGCTGCTAACGTGCTTTGCCCGGGATGCTCAGGCTCTGCAGAAAGGCGCAGGTGATGCGTGATCCCCCCCAGGGAGGCCGTGGGGTGGTGGTGTGCTTCAGGGTTACGTTACGGGCTCCCCACAACGGGGATGCTCGAGGCTCTGCTCTCATCCTGGAGCTCAGGCTGGCTGCGTGCAGGATCCTCGAGGGGTGTGGGATTCACCCAAGGATGCTGTAAGGAAGGGGTAATGCACACTCGGTGCCTACATGCAGACACGATCCTCGCTGCGTCCCCCATCTCTTAGCGGCACGGCTCTGATCTGCTGCTGCGCCTCTCCTGGCTCGGCTGGGGGGTTTTGTCAGTCCCCTGCCTTATCCCCACGGCAGCACCGTGCCTGCCAGCAGCAGGCAGCATCAAAAAGCCGGGGGCTGCCAGCCAGGCCCACCGAGACCGAGGAGATGAAAGCCTGGTGGTGGTTGGAGGCCTGCCGCTCGTTTGATGCCTCTCATCAGCGCCGTGTCTGGCCATAATAACAACCCGGGCCCCCTTTGTTTTCTCCCCAGCACTGGAAGACACGAGGCAGTGAGGAGTACGAGGCAGAGGGTAAGAGCAAGCAGCTGGATGTGTTTCGCCTTCAAAGCCCCAAGGAGAGCAGCCAAAAGCGTGCTGTGGGGCCGCCTCGGGCCTGTGGTGCTGGTGTGGGCCCTATATGGGGTCAGGCAGGCAAAGCACCACACGGTGCAGCCCCTGTGGCCATCCCATGCTCTGTCCCTGTGTCACTGCCATGCTTTGTCCCTCCCGTTGTCAGCACGAGATGGAGGCGAGCCCCATTTTGGGACAAAACCAGGCTCTTTGAGGGGTTCTGCCTTATGGCCTAGCATCTCCAGGCCTGGTCCTGAGCGTGCTTTGTGGGGGCTGTGGGGCTGTAGTGGAGCATGGCAGGCACTAGATGTCAGTCCCAACCAGTCCTTAGGGTCCTCCTGTGGGACAGCAGGGTGACCCTGGGGTGGGGGCTCCCTGTCCTGCCCCAGCACCACGGCCATATATCTTCTAATTGCCCCAACACCCCTACCCCATTAGCTGTGGTCTAATAACCACCACCCCGTCCAACAGGACCAAAGTTTTGCTCCCAAAAAGCCCTTTCCCAGCCCCTGGGGTGAGGTGGCAGCCCCAAGGAGGTGGCCTTGCAGCTGAGCAAGCTCTGTGCATTGGGGTCTGCAAATCTCTTTGCCGAGAAAGCAGGGGGGGCTCTGGCTGTCTAACGGGGTCCCGTGTGGCATGGGGGTCTCCTGGTGGTCCCTGGGGAGCAGTCCCATACACCGGAGCTGTTTTCCCCAAATTCAGGGCAGCTGCGTTTCTGGAACCCAGATGACCTGAACGCCTCTCCTGGTGCCTCGCTGCCCACACCGGAGTGGATAGAGGAGAAACTGCAGGAGGTCTGCGAGCACCTCGGCATCACCAGGGACGGCCACTTGAACCGCAAGAAGCTCGTCTCCATCTGCGAGCAGTTTGGGCTCCAAAATGTCAGCGGGGAGGTGAGCGCCGTGGGGCTGGGGTTGCCGGAGGGGTGGCTCGCACCCGGAGGCGTGCTGGGTGTTGGTGCTGCCACAGACGCCTGCCTTGTGGCTCATCGCTTTTTGCTTATCACATAGCACAAGTGCAGGCTAACAGCTCGCTGCTTGGGAGGTGGCATCCAGCTCGCTGCTTTCCGAGGGGTTTGTTGGCATTGAACCCACCGAGAGGCTGCGCTGGGCCGAGGCAGCTGCCCTGCACCGTGATGCCTGTCCGTCATCATGTACCATCACAGAGTAAACTTTAAATTAAAAAACATACCTTGGATTCCAAACGTGACTCCTTAATCCTAGGATCTGTCTATCTGGAAAGTAAATACTGGTTCAGATATTCACAGGTCTTTGCAAAGTCAAAAGCAACTACCTGCAGGCTGTCTTTGTCCTCCACACAGAGTCCCCGAGTAAATTATTTCTTTAGCAAAATGTCTCCGTAAGATTCAGTGCTTTTTTAATAAATCTGCTTCCCATCTTAGAATACCACTGCTTGAAACAGTTTCCTTCATAAAGCTTGTTTCTGGGCCGTTATTCCTTTGCAGCATTTGCAAGAATGTTTTCAGGATATTGAAGTGTAGGAAAGGCAGCAAGTGGGAGAAATAAACTGAAGGCAAAGGAATAGCAAGGGACTATCGTAACCTCTCTAATCCTAATATATTTAGTCTTGCTCGTAAGCAAGAGGACTGCCCTTGAAGTATAAAATAGATTTATTGTAACCTTGTAGTGCCTCACTATTTTTTTGTTCAGTGGCTTCAGATGCTGCAGAGGTTTGGGCATTTTTCTCACGAACTCGCACTAAATTCCTCGTGTCACCTGGGGTCGGGAGCAGGGCGCAAGGAGGCTTTTTCGTGCTGCCTTACAAGATGGATGCTTGAAGATAACCACGATAAGGAGCTTATATGCTCTGGCAGGCAGGATTTCGGTAGCGTGCATAGCTCTGCAGTTTTCTGTAAGACGACTTTCCCAGTCCGTGCTGATGCAGCGAGCCCGGCAGCTCTTTTGGTCCTTGCCTGCTGCGCTGAGTTTTGCTGCGGTGCTTTTGGCAATAACCAAAAAATTTCTGCCCCCTGCCGCTTGCAGGTGCTCGAGGGGGTGCTCCACAGCCTGGACCAGGATGGCACCATGAGCGTGGAGGATTTCTTCTACGGCTTGCTCAGGAACGGGAAGCCGCTTACGCCCTCGGCATCCACCCCGTACCGACAGCTGAAGAGACACCTCTCCATGCAGGTGAGGGGCCGTGGCTCCCCATGCCATGCTCAGCTCCCTCGGGGCTGTTGGGATGGGGATGGGGCAGGAGGCGTCCTCCTGGGGAAGGGAAGAGATGGCCCCTTGGAAATAATGGGGTTTGGGATGCACCTTGCAGGACATGGTGGGCACTAAAAGGGTGCAAACTGCACAGGGGGAAAAAGTGGCCTGAGGTCAGCTGCAGGCTGTGGGCTTGCACATCCCACATCATTTTTTTTTCTTTTGAGAGTCTGGAGTTACTGCCCATCTCTGTCTAGAAGCTGAGGGCTGTAACACAAGCGCCCATGCAGCCTCTAAGGGAAAGGCAACACTTAAAAGCAGGTGGTGGAAAACAGAGCTCCTAAAAGTTATTCCTCCAAAAGTTATTCCATCCAAAGCTATTCCTCCTCGGATTTATTCAAAGCCCAAAGCACCTGGTTGTGCTGCAGTGCCACGAGCTCAGCAGCAGTGCTCCTGCTGCGAGGAAAAGCAGGTTAAATCCTTCACCCCCAGGGTGCTGCACCCTGCCACAGCTCTCCCCTCTCTCTGCAGTCCTTCGATGAGAGCGGGAGGCGCACGGCCGGCCCCACTGCCATGCCCAGCACCCTCGGGTTCTGCCTCTTCTCCAGCCTGGACGATGGGATGGGCTATGGCTGTGTGGAGGGCATCCTCGACTGCTGGCACCAGGAGGGTGTCGAGAACAGCCAGGACATCCTGAAGGTAACCAGCAGGCACAGCTCACTCCTTCTATTTGCTTTATTTCCCCCCTCTTTATGGGGTTCTGGGCTGTAACTGGATTTTTTTTCCTCTAAAATTCTTGGTGCTAATTCTGGGAAATCTCTGGTAATTTCCTGCATTGAAACGATGGTGCATCCCAGAGAGCTGGAAGTTAATGCTAAAATGTAATGGGGCTCCCAGCTCAGCTCGAAAAGGTCACCTACATTTGTGTAAAGCAATTTAATTCCTTTACCTCGCTGAACAGCAGCATCTGCAAAGCTCTTAGTGCTGGAATGACCCAGGTTACAGCTTGCACTGCCCACTAATTAATTATACAGGGTAAAAGGGTCATATGTACTGCAAATCAGGTACCTGAAGCAAGCTGCTTCCCTGCCCGTCCTGCTGGAAGCTGTGCACGGGGTAAGATGCTTCCACGTGTCTGTTCCCAGACCTGCTGGGTTACTGGCAGTGACAAGAACAGGTTTTTCTCAGCATTTTGTGTCCATACGGATTTTGAACATCCAGGTTGCCATAAATGCTTTATGCAAAACTGTTGTTCTCATGCAAATAAAACCCTTTTTGGAGCCTGGACTCAGCCCAGCTTGATAATTCCACATTATTTTAACCAGACCTGCACGGTCTGCCCCTAACTCACCTCCTGCCAGGAGCTGCCTTTAGCCCACAGCCGGCCCCGTTGGCCGTGCTGCTGCGTGGTTTTGGTGGCATGGGTGCAGTAACTGCACCACCAGCAGTACTGTGAGCTCCTTTGTGCTCGTGCAAGGTGAGGGGAAGGAAAATACAGTCAGTTTCTACTGATAATGTGCTGGAAGAGGTGGGGTTTTTACTGTGGAACCTCCTGCAAGACCTCTTCTGTATCACCTCTATCACAATACCCTTTTTTTTTTTTACATGAACACTTTCAACCACTTGCTTGCCTTTTAAAACATTCAAATGCTCCTGGTGCAATTATGTCCCCTAAAGAATTAATATTCTTAATCAGGCATGGGCTTACTTTCCTCTTGCCCTTGCAGTGTAGCCCTCGTTTTTCCATCTGCATATCTGGCAGCAGCACTTTAATGTAGGCAGGTGCCTGAGAGGTCTGTTTTATTGCCCCAAAGCCATTCCTGAAGGTTCATCAGCAAGCAAAGATCTTTTCTGAGCCTCCCCAGTTTATTCTCCTTTCGTGTACAAACGTCTTCAGGCTCCTGCAGAGCAAGAAAGCTCTGCTCCAACAGCGTGTTGTTCCGCAGGCTTTGGACTTCAGCTTGGACGAGAAGGTGAACTTGACAGAGCTGACGCTGGCGCTAGAAAACGAGCTTTTAATAACCAAGAACAGCATCCACCAGGCAGCCCTGGCGAGCTTCAAAACAGAGATAAGGCACTTGCTGTAAGTCGCTGGGATTGTTGTCTCTGCTTCCTCCCTGGGGATTGCCCAGCAGGAGCTTAAGGAGCAGCCGCTGTGCAGCAGCACGGCCCCTCCCTGTCCCCCTGATCGTCATTATTTGGTTATCATTAATTCATCTTCATTTGGGTTTACTTGGATAAAATAGCCAAGTATCACAGGAGAATGTGCTGGGGGGGGGGGAGATCAAAGCATCAGGATGTTCCCAGCCTGAAAGGATCAGTGCAGTCTGCAGTGGGCACTGGCCAAGGAACACAAAAGTGTTCGGGCAGAGGCTAGCACAACCTGATAACACCACAAATCCTAAATGCTTTCTGGGAGTACTTTTACATAGGTTTTGCTGTGGGACAAAGACTGAGTTTCCCCTTTTTTTCATTTGAATGTCAAACATAATTTGACTTTGCACAGGACTTGTGGTGTGCAGACTTCTTGTTTGTGCATCACTGGGGATGACTTTGGTCATTAAAACCACAGATGTGTTACCTGTCAGCTTAGCACTCATGCCTATGAGTTCCCCATTTCACTTTTAGAGCAAAAGATGAAGCTTCCCACTGTGCGGGTCTGTCTTTTTATGTTTACTCTATGGAGAGATTTGTTGTTGAGTTTCCACCAAGAAAGCAGCTCAGGAAAGCAAACCTTGCTAACCTGTGATTAAAATGGGTGGGATAAAATGTGAGGACGGAGTGGTAAAGGTGAAAAAAAATAAGAACAAGTAAATGGGGCAGGGGGTTGGCATCTGGTTTGGGACCTGTGGGGGCATCAAGACGGGCCCAGAGCTGTGTGCCCAAGCTCATAGCTAGCTACAAATGCAGCTGAGGATAAAAAAAAAAATCAGAAATTTTTCCAGGCTCTCTGAGAAGCCTCTGGTGAGCCTCTCCTCTGGGGGAGGGCTGCCTTAACCCAGCACGGCCGTGTTCACCCTAGGGAGCGGGTGGACCAAGTGGCCAGGGAGAAAGAGAAGCTGCGGTCGGACTTGGAAAAAGCTGAGAAGCTGAAATCCCTGATGGCCTCCGAAGTGGATGACCACCACGCTGCGATAGAGCGCCGGAACGAGTACAACCTCAGGTAGAGTGTCCTGGGACACCAAGGGTGAGCGTGAGCAGCTCCTGCCTGTCCTCGTCATCACTGCAGGTGTTGGTGATGGAGGTAGAGGCTTGGGAGGAAGGGCAGGAGAGATGTGAGCACCTGTGGTTTGGATGGAAACTGGTCTGAGCCTGAGGACTTGAAGTGCTTGGCCACACAAAAGCATTTGTTGTCCTTACCCCACCTGCCAGGCTTGTCTGTGGGTCCCAGGTCCCGTCCTCTGCTCCTCACCCTTGCCCTGTCGCCCTGTGCATGGGGCTCACCTTCCCTAATAAGAGGGATGTGCCGATGTGGAACTCCAAACATTAACATCACTGGCTGCAGAAAAGTCTGGCTTAATCCTAAAACCCTGGCCAGGCTGTGGGTGCACATCTAAAAATCATCCAGCACCGTGCGGCCGATCTGCGTGGTTAATCCCCATGCTTCTGTCTGGAGCCAGCCCCAATAGGGGCAGTGGCTCTGAGTGCCAAAACCACCCAGCTTAACGCCGTGGCATTTGCTGCCTGCTTCCCTCTGTGAGCTTTCCTTGCCTTTGATGCCTTACCAGGAAGCTGGATGAGGAATACAAGGAGCGGATCGCAGCTCTAAAGAACGAACTCCGGAAAGAGCGGGAGCAAATCCTGCAGCAGGCTAATAAGCAGCGGCTGGAGCTGGAGCAGGAGATAGAAAAGCTGAAAACTGATGAGAACTACATCCGTGACCGCCTCACCCTCTCCCTGAAGGTAACAGGGGCTGAAAGCAAATGGCACTTTCTGCTGAAAACCCAGGGTAGGCAGAAGCAGGGAGTGATGCTTGTGATTTGATCCTTGTTGAGAGGATCTATGCCAGCGTATATTGAGCTAGGTGAAAGTAGCTTCAGCTGATAAAGTGGCTTCAGCAAGATAAAAGCACATCCATAAATGTTTTGGGGTCACCTTGATTGGTTACTGCTAGGACTTGTAGGGCTCCCTTTCAGATTTCATGATATCATTCACCCATGATCCCACATATTTGAATCCTTTTTCCAAATTTTTTTAGGAAATTTTTTTGAAATTTTTTTTACTTAAATCACATTTTTTTCTGAATCTGACAGCTGCCTTATAACTTAATGTTTTGTGTTCTTTTTTAAGCTGAGCAGAAGCTAAAGGTCATGGTGTTGTCTTACAAATACCAAAAGCGCTGACAGTCAGCGTGAGCTGACACCCGTAAGGATGTTCAGGAGAGCAGCTTCTGACCAGCTCAGCTGTCCTTTTGGTGCCAGGGAAAGTGTAAAATGCTCCTCCCCAAGCAGGGATTAGCAAGTAAGAATTGTGTGCCTGGTGGCCACCAGGCCCACAGCCAATGTACACTCACTGCTCTGATGTGCACGTGTGAATAGTGGGAAGGAAATTCACAGCTCCCGTCATCGGCTGCAGCTCGTGTCGGTGCTGTGCCCTGACTTGACTGGGAGACTGCTCTTCTCGAATGAGCTGCCACTTTCTGGTTCTTCGGTCTTCCAAATGCTGAAGCTGTCGGGTTTCTGTCTGGTTCAGGAAAACAGCCGTCTGGAAAGCGAGCTCTTGGAAACGGGGGAAAAGCTGGCGGAGTATGAAAGCTTGGCAAGCAAGCTGCAGAGGAACTTGGAGAACGTCCTGGCTGAGAAGGTAAATGTAAATCCTCCTCTCTGCAGCGTGTCCAGAGCTGAATCTGCTTCGAGGAGCTGGTGGTGGGGTCCCTGGGGGCTGCTCCCAAGGGATCAGACAAATGCTGAGCCCAACTCCCTCTGGTTAAGAGAGCTGCAGATACCCCAGCCTCACTGTGGTCCTCTAAGTGATAACAGCAAGTCTTACAGCAAAGCAGTCATTCCACAGGTTTACAGGGGATTTTTCCCCAAAATATAGTTTCACACAGACCCGATGACTAGCTAGGGCAGATGATACCTGAGGTGTCCGGTGCTACGTGGCATCTCTGTTAAAACTGCATCTGAAAAATGAGATGAACAGCTGAGCGTGGTGATGATACAATAAACTCATCAGCTTTTCCAAAGGCATTTCTGTGCACGTGCATCTACAGACAAAGGCTCCTTGGTGATGATTCTGCAATGATCCTCACCCAGCATCTGTCTTCCAGACATGTTTCAAGTTGGAAATGTTTATTTCTATGGAATACGCTGACTTTGTACATGCATTAAGATAGAAAGATATGGTCTGAAATCAAAATTAGTGTAAGAGTGATGGGAAGATAGCAGCTAGTATCCGTTAGGGAGGTTCTTCCCTTTTGGGATTCCCTGGGGGAATAAAAATAAAATGAAATAAAAACACGAAAAAAAAAAAAAAGGAAAGAGGGAGCAGGCTGCAGGGCTGCTTGAGAGCTGCATCCCAGCTGGGGTGTGTGAAAGACTGACTGGGTCCTGTTGATGCCGTTTCAGTACGGTGACCTCGATCCCAGCAGCGCAGAATTCTTCCTGCAGGAGGAGAGGCTGGCACAAATGAAGAGCAAGTACGAGCTGCAGTGCAGGGTGAGTCGAGCCCTGGGGCTGGGGACACAGCACCCGAGGGATGCATCTTCCCCAAGAGCATCCTTTCTGGAAGCAGCATGCAATGCAACACTGCTGTTTGTGATGCTTTGGTTTATTTATTTTTTACGTTAATCTGTGCTCTTGGCTGGTGGAAAGCTTTTATCGCAGAAGCAAATGGTCAAGAGAGGTAAGATGCCTTAGGGGTGGGCTGGAATAGGGTGTATGGAGCCTCCTTTGCTCCACTGGTGTAAACCAGCTTAATTCTTTGTGTAGCAATGCACCAGTGGTTTGTCTGATTCCTGAAATAAAGGCTGCCCTCATTTGAACTTAAAGCTGCAGGAACTACCAGCAGGAATGAGATATAGCTGAGTTTTGTCAGCTTCTGGAACAGTAATAGTTTAAGGAAATAGAACTACACAGATCTAAAGCTTGCCTTCTCCCTGCATCTCGTGCAGCTGACTGCTTCTTCTGCAAGTGTCTATTTCCATACCTGTTTTCTGATGACTATAACGATAACAAGCATTTGGCTCGCCTGTTCTGCATGACTCTTTTCCTTCAATGAAGGACTGTCTTGGCTAGAGGCTGCATAATCTGCAAGAGCATAGTAGCTCTGTTAAGAAGTTGGAGTTAAAAAGCAAATATTTTCTAGAAATATTTGCTGAACCGGTGCTTCTTGGTAAGAATTTGCTTAAATGTGCAGCTGACTTCTTTGAGTACTGGCAGATCTGAGTCAGTCTTCAAGGTTCACTTTCTGAACCTTTCAAATCTGCAGAACTGCATGTTTACACATTCATGGATTCATTTTCCTCAATAAACAATGTTCATTGAGCTCAGCATGCTGCGTTTTGGCACCAACACTTGGGATATTCTGCTGGCAAGCGGGCAGCAGTACCAGATGGAAATGCACTAATGAGGATATCTCCTTTCTAATTTGATCTCTTGCTTCTGATTTGATTTTCAAGTAGAATGGTGTTTGAGGAGGTATTTCTCAAATATGCTTGAAAATTTTCCTAAGTTGCTGCTTAAAACTGTGCTGGGAAGAAGGAATAAAGTGGAAGGACCTAGAACATGCAGATTTTGGAAGCAAAATGCATGTTTTCAGCCTGAAGAAGGCACTATTATGTTAATAAATAAAATGTTATTTGCATGGGTTGTGGAGAAGGTGCTGTTTTGCAGACAGGAGGATGGTAACTGGCAAGATTTAGTCTTTCCCCACAGCATTTCTCCCCTAAAAGCTCTGTCACTGGGGTGTGTTGGTGCACAGATGCTTGGCTGCTCTCACTCAGCTCCTTTCCTTCCCTTCCCCTGCGGTCAGGAGCTGCAGGACCAGATAGATGAGCTGCACTCCGAGCTGGAGGAGTACCGCACTCAGGGCAAGGCCTTCAGGCCATCGCTGAAAAACTCGCTGTCGGAGGAGTTCGACATCGATCTTAAAACTCACGGCAACAGCGGCATTGAACCTGACCAAGGTAAAACACATTTTCTGTGTGGGAACTTCAGGGACATAAATTTCATGAGATATTCATGATAAAGCCTTGGCTGTGATGATGTAAAGGCTCCCCCAAACCCTCCTAGTGCACTCCTCAGACAACATCCCATTTTAATGCATAACATTAAGTGGAATATAACTGTTATATTCAAAGCTAAACAAAAATTTGTAGTTTCTTGTCTTCAGTGATGCTGTAGCTGTCCAAATACATTTAAATTGAATACCAATTCTATTGAGAATGTAGCTGTTTGGGTTTGAAGCTGCATATAATTCCTGTTTTTAAAGGACTTGGTTCAGAAGACTGCAATCCGTTAAACATGAGCATAGAGGCAGAAATGGCCATTGAACAAATGAAGGAGCAACATCACAGGGACTTGCATCACCTCAAACAGGAGCTTGAAGACACGGTGAGCTATTTTCCCTTCAAGCTTCACAACTCTCCCAGCCTTATACAAACAGTGTGCTCTTGGAGAAGGACTTCTGACCCCTGGTGAAACCAAAACCTTTCTGTGAAGCTGAGCTTCTGCCTCCCCTGCTCCTCCTGGGTGCTGGCGAGGGCTGGATGAATGCTGCATTACATCCCTAGCCGCCCACCAGCTAACAGGAGCAGCGAGATGCAGTAGTGCATTTCCTGTCTCGAAGGGCTGGCACAGCTGAATTAGCCACTTCATTCACACTGGCAGGGAATAATTGTGGGTTAGGAAGGCAGCTGGCAGGAGTCTGCGTGGGGAACACTGCGCTGAAACGTGCTCCGTGCTGTGAAAGCACAGAAACTGCTGCTGCAGTGCTGGTGGTGCCTGGTGGTTTCCCATTTTCTGGGTAGGGGCTTCCTAGTTTGCAAGGCTTATCTGGCCTCACAGGCTTGTTCTGCAAGAGCCAGCTCAGGACCAGAAGTCAGCGATCCTGTCGGGCTTTCGTAGCATCTCTTAGACCATCTCTGGATAGAGCTGATAACCCTGCAATGACTCCATAACAGACCAATTTTGTGGGTGGCACAACACAGGGGCACTGAAACTGTTCTGATAAAGCTGACAGCCCCCTGCCCTGATTACAAAGGGGAAATGAGGCATGGGTATGGAGAAAGGGCACCAAAAAATATTACCCTGAAATTACTTTTCCTTAAAGGGCTTGTCCCATGTCATTTGTAAAAGCCTTTTTAAAGGGAAATCCATCATCTAATTAATTTGGGGAGGGGGTTGAAAAAGGAATCAGTGAAATATTCTACTTGCAATTTGCAAAACTCACTTAGACTCGAAAATTATTAGTGGCTTTTCTCTTCTTTCACAAACTGAACAGAAAAGCATGGATTTCACCGGCTTCTACAGAATAATCATCTTTATCCCTGTAAGAAATTAAGCTGAACGCTTCAGTATTCTTTACAGGGAGAACTGATATAAGATGCTAATACGTAAATCAAATCATTCTGTAGAATGTTAGGAAATTTGTAACACAAATGTACAGGATATGTACTAGAATATGCAGTATAAAATGAACTGATCTGTTTTCCTTCTTGCAGGTGAGCCATTACGAAAAGCAGCTAGATGAGACAAAAATCCACTGTGAGAAGGAGCAAGAGGATATGAGGAAGAAGTATACTGAAGAGAAGCACGTCATGGAAAAGCAGATAACTGGCCTGAAAAACCAAGTTGCAGAACTGCAAGGAGAGGCAGCGGTGCTCAGAGAACAGCAGGAGAAGCTTGACTGCAAGCATAATGATGAGAAAAACAAATTACAAATGAGTTTCAATGAGGAAAAAGCCAATCTGCAAGAACTCTTGAGGAAAGAGCACGAGGACGATCTCAGAGCCAGACTGGAAGAGGCAAAGGAGAAATTCAGTCAGGAACGGGAGGAGCTGCTTCAGAACGGCGTCTGGGTGGAGGAGAAGATGAGGGTGCTGGTGCAGGCGCTGCAGGACGAGAAGGGAGAGCTGGAGCGTGGCTTCCATGAGCAGCTGAAAAGGATGGCAGAAATGCATGCCCTGGAGAAAGAGGAGCTGCAGGAAGAGCTGCTGAGGAAGCACAAGCAGGAGCTGGAGGAGGAAAGGTGAGTGTCCCCGCCAGCCCTGGCAGCAGAGGTCTGCACTGACCACGAGTGCTCGGCACGGTGATGCTGGTGCAGAAGTCATTCCTGAGGCTTGTTGCAGGTGTGTTTGAGCGGTGCCCTCACCTGCTTCATCCCAGGACACAGGAGGGATGGTACCCAGTGGCTTTTGACTCCTTCCAAGCAGATATTTGTGTTGGTTTTTAGCTCACCTAGAGGCAACGGCACTGTTAAAGCATAACCAGATGTGGCTGCCTTGAGCTCTGTTCAGTGTCCTTGTGCTTTACAGTCCTTTGCACTTAAAGAGTTTGAATTTTGAGGTGTCTTTTCTGAAGAAGTTAATGCATGGCTGGTAAATGCCTGTTAGGCAGGACTGTCAACAGAAACTGAAGCTGTCCTGGGGTGACAGGGAGAGATGGGGGTCAAGAACATCTTGGGGATGTTCTTGGGACAAGACCCTCTAAATCTGATGAGAAGCACAGGAAAGGTATATTGTATGCAAAACAATATCAAAGGACATTTAGTGAGTTATACCCTTCCAAGGCAATTAGATTTTGGTTTCTGAAGTTTCAGCAAACTGCCTCAAATTTAACTTTGGCTCTCAGAAACACCCATCAAATAGTAGCTCCACTAAAATTCAGCGGAAATAGTAACTTTTCAGCTTGTTTTATTGAGTAGCTTAAAAAAAAAAAGAATCTTTCTGAATTAGCTCAGAGTTTAGTAATTTATTATGTTAACCATGTTTAGGAAAAAAATGGAAATTGACTATAACAGAAGAGCATCTCATGCTGAAACTCAGTTTTCTGTGGACACGCAAACACTTGCGAATAAATATGAAGAAGCGATCCAAAAGCTGGAAAGATGCTACCAGCAGGAGTTGCATGATCTTGTTGAACAGCAGAGAGAGGAAAAATCTCAGTGGGAGTTTGAAAGGGATGAAGTTGCCCAGGAGGCTGCTGAAGCCCATGAGCAGCTGAAGGAAAGCCTGGCAAATGAAAAGGCTGCTGCTGTTGCCCTGAGCCAGGAGAAAGAGCTGCTGGAGAAGAACTTCAAGGAGGAAGTGAACAAGCTGGTGTGCGAGAAGGAGCAGCTCCAGAAAGAGCTGCAAGACCTGAGGAATGCTGCTGAGATGCAAGAGGAAAAGCTGAATGATAAAATAACACGACTCCAAAATGACCATGAGAAAGAGCTAAAGGACAAGGAGGAGCAGATATCGCTGGTGGAGGAAAATGGGAGGCTGATTAGCCAAAAGCTGGAGAAACTCAGCAGTGAGTATAAGCAAGAGAAAGAAGAACTGAATTCCAAACTTCTTGCTTTGGAAAGTTTAAACAAAGACATTTGTGTAAGAGCAGAAACAGAAAAGGCAGAGATGAATCTGGAAATCTCAAACCTTCAAGAAAAAATCCAGAAATTGCAGTGGGAGACTGTTAGTTTTTCCGCACTGCAGAACCATTATAGGGTCCTGGAAAATGAATATGCAAAAGCAAAGAGCAAAATTGCTGCTTTCTCTAGTATAGAACCTCTGGGAGACGATGCAGATGTGCTCATAAATCTGCAGAAGGTGCACGAGCAAGCTGTGAAGGAAAATGTGAGGATGGCTTCGGAGATCGTCAGGCTGCAGCACCGGCTGCGAGCTGTGGAGCGGGAGCCCCCCAGACCTCCTGGGTCTGGTGGCTCCAACCCCGGTGCAGAATCACCACAGCTGCAAGACAGAAGGGATCCTGCTCTCCAGGGGCTGCCCCGTGATCGGAGAGATGCAGGCAAGGCCGTAGGTGTGAATGTGCCTCCAATTTTGGAGGCTGACACTGCAGACCTGGAAGAAGTGCTTGAGATGCGCTCTGCTGTGGAGAAACCATGGGATGAAGGCAGAGCAGACGGCCACGCGCTCAGGTTGCAGGCAGGTCAGATGCGAGGAAGTAAAATGGCAGTGGGAAGTGATTGTAATCTTAATTATGACAAAAATCAAGAGCTAGTGGCTCAGGTGCCTCTGCTGCAGAAAAAGAGAGATCTTGAGAGAGTTCCCAGATTAAAAGTACTACAAAATGACACTAAGCAGCAAAATGCCCATCTGCCGAATAACAGAATAGCTCCCAGGAATAAAGGGTTTTATTCTGACGCTTCCAAGCTGCAGACTGATCTCAAGAGGGCTGAAGAGCTGACGGAAGCCTCTCTCCAGCTGGGACACGCTCCTGGATCAGCGAACGGTGACCTGAGGGATGCGATTCCTCAGCTTTGGAAAAGGGTCGAGGAGCTGCAGGAAAGGTTGGTGGCACAGGCCAAGCTTCTGTCACTCCAGGAAGAAATCCAGGCAGAAAACATGGATCTAAAATCTGAAGTGATCAAGTTAATTGAGAAAAATAAAGCCCTAGAAGACAGCCTATGTAAGCTGGGAAGCCTTCATTGCAAGCTCGAAGCAGGTAACCTGGGAGGCATCAAGCTCGGAGAAGAAAGCACACAGCTCCTCAAAAAAGCTAAAGAACTGGAAGGTGGTCAAAACCAAGATGTACAAGGAAAACTGGATGTGCACAGCAAGAAGTTAAGGCTACAGTGCCAGCTTGGAAAGCTGGAAGAACACCCTGAAATGTTCAGGGTCCTGCAGGACGAGCAGGCCCAACGTGACAGCACAACCAAAGAGATGGTGGCAGACAAGAGGGAGCTGCAAGACCCCAACAGAAAGCTGGAGGAGAAAGTTACTGCCCTGGGGAACCAAAACGGTGTGCATTTCCATGAGGAGAAGGAGGAGAGGAACACAGTGACACACGGCCTGCAGAGCACGTGCACTGAGCTGCAGCAAAAAGTCGATCTTCTGAGGTAACGTACACTAAAACCTTGTGGGAAGCGTGCCGGCCCTGCTGTGCTCCAACGTGCTGCTTGCTCCACGTAGAAACTAACCTAGTGTCCCACTGACTGCTTCATAGCCCTACTGACCGCCCCATGGCTGCTGCATTAACCTCTGTAGCTTAGCTCTGAGTAGAAAAAGGTGCCTCGGACTCTAACCCGTAGCAGGCAGGCTGTCGAAGCGTGGATAACAACGGCTGAAATAAGCGTGCGTGACTTGGTTCTCTCTGAACGTGACCTAAAATAATGGGTAAAACCAGCAACTTGAGGCTCTGCCTGTGGATGCAGGCATCTTCACAGTGTATACTTGACACTATCAGAGGTTCCTGTGCTTTTATGTCCAAAATGTTGTGGTAACATTTCCAGAATGCTTCTAATTTTTACTAATATCACCTCTTCGCTCTGTGCCTTTCTAGTACTGAATGTTGCTTGGAAAGCTAGAAGAGTTTCACTTTTTCTAAATATCAAAGTTAATGCTAAGGAATCAGTCCCTTTTTTGTTAGGAATTGGTCTTATTTTGGATTGTTTGGAACTGGTATTAGGAATGCATCAGGTATACAACATGGCAAATACCATTGTAACAAAGAAAACACAATAGGTTGCCTCCTTTTTACCTGCTGTATCTAAGTGCTGGTCATAAACTGCTTACAAATGGCTTAGTTATCACTCAGCACCGACTTCCTCTAAGAAATTGTTCCTGCAAGTATTGCTCCATGCCTGAATTATTTCTCCACAGTTGCCCGGGGAAAGGAAAGGCACTCACAAACTGCTGTTTCCATGCTGCTGCCCCCAGCACACAGGGCTCTGAAGCAGCTGGGGTGCAGCCTCCATATGGCAACGTTAGGCTGTCTAAAGTTAGGGATCTGTTATTGGAAGTTTAAGGACTGAGAGGTACAGTACAACATTGGACTGTGATCCTTCTACTAGGTATCTTAGATTTTAAGCAACTTTCTGCAATTTTTTTATAGCTAGAATGTCCTTTTTCAGTGATCTGGGAAGCACTTGAAAGGTAAAATCTATACGAATCCATACACAGCTCATAAAATAAGCCAGCTGTAGCTTTGTTTTAAAGTATCACAAGCAACTCAGGCTTTTAGTTTTTTTGTTTTTTTTCCTCGTGGGCTTGGACAATGCACAGGAGCAGTTCTCATGTCTTGTCTTTCTGCCACAGATGTGAAGCCGAGAAGCTCAGGGAAGAAAACACCGCTCTGAAGAACGAGGTGACGCTGTTAAACGAGGAAGGCAGTGCTTCCAGCCTGAAACTGAGGGAGCTGAATGGATCCCGGGAAGAAATGCGGTAAGGATGCTACAGGGACATAGACCAGGCATGTGTCTTCAGGCACACAGCAGCAGAGTTCTTTCTCAGAGCTCCTTCACGTGGTAGACCTTCAAGTGTTAGATATCCTACAGGCTGTGAAACAGGCTGCCTTCTGGTGCCATCAGCTCTCCACCTGGGTGAGGTCTATTCCTTCTGCTTCTCCCCAGTCCTGGAGCTAAAGCAGGAGCCTCATTGATGGGGATTCAGGTGACTGCTAACACTTAGGAGCTGACCTCTTATAATTCCTGCTGCTTCAGCAAGGACAGAGGTGGTTAGGCTGGTGTAGCCCTAGAAAAGTCAGGAAGAGATACAGTGGGACAGAGCACTTTCAATAATTTGGTCTTTTGCAAGTAGATAACTACTTATGATCCTGGGAACCCAGCCTTTCCTTCCGGGAAAGGAATACGTGGGTAGGTGAAAGAAGTGAGTACTAACAAAGCCTATGCAAAGCAGTGATGCTAAGTGAAAAATAATGAACATCCAGAATTACCTTTTCTCGTGATGTCAAAAAGCAGCCTGTTCTTGCAGAGATTATATAAAAAGGAGTGACCCTAATGTTAATGAGCTTTTCCTTTTTCCTAGGCAAAAGATAGAGGCAGTGAGAAAGGAGAAAGTGGCTGTACAGAAGATGGTTGACAACCTGAAAAAGCAGGTAAGCAGACTGAGTCCGTAATCTTCTCTGGAGAAATAATAAATGTACAAGTCTTTCTTTAAATCGTCAGGTAGGGGTTTTTATTTATTTATTTATTTATTTATTTATTTTAAAAAGACCACTATTTACCCTTCTTGATAATTATGTTCTCATTAACTGTTTGGGATTTATGTGAGGCTTCTTTGACCTGATCTGAAGACAACTGCAGTGCTACTGTAACTGTCTGGCTTACAGACTTGAGAGCATTCTCCATAGTCAACTTGGAAAATTTACTTAATGGAAATATGAAGCTAAAGTCTTCCTTTGTAATCATTTTGTGGGTAATGCTCTGCAGTAGCCCACGGGAGAGAGGTTATGTGACTCAGCCTCTTACTTCCCAGCTGGATGGGTCTGGGACTGCTGCCAGCAGTGACCATTTGCTCATATCTGTGAGATTCACTGCTTTTGTTTAAAGGGAGGTTCATTGTGCTAGGCAAGTAATAGAAGGCTTAAGTAGGTTTTACAGCCATGTTCCTTGTGGTATTGCTCAGTAAAATTCTCTATTGCTCAGGATAATTTTGTAGCTCGTCAGCTACTCAAGATACTTATATCAGCATAACGAAGGGAAGAAGGAACTGAGAGGTATGCCAGATAGAGCTGATACATCTGAGGCCAATTCCCAGAAATGAAGTTTGTGAGGCTGCAGTGCAGCAGTGCCATCAGCAGCAGTCCTACTCTTATATAGGGGTCTACTTGATTTGGCCTAATATTAGGGCATGGAACAAGTTCTGTAGGCAATAGGGAAATAAAAGAGTGCTGCTGGGGTCATGACTGTTATGTGGAGTGCAGGTAGTTCACTGCTGTCTCACCATTCAGAGTCATCGTGCTGGGATTCTGTCTCTGTGGCTGGGCCAATGAATTGGGGTGATGTTTGTCCGCTTTTCTTTTTAATCACCTGAACAGAAAGGAAATGGATTAAAACAAAAACCCTACCATCCAGTACAGGAATAGTCATAACTGACCCTGCTGTCCCACTTCAGGTGGCAGATCTGAAGACCAGGAACCAGCAGCTGGACTCTGAAAACACAGAGCTGAGCCAGAGGAACTCCAAAAGCCAAGCAGATGTGCAGGATCTTAACCAACAGCTGGCAAGGGTGCTCAAGCAAAAGGAAAGGGAAGCAGGGAAGTGTACGCTGGAAGAATGGGAAAAGGAGAGACTGGTACTGAAAGAGGAACTGGAAAACTCTAAAGTAGAGGTACGGGATAAGTGTCTCGAGTGGTATGCAACAACTGAACCTTTAGGAATTAGCATCCCCTTCTCGAGCTGTGTGTGATCTTTCAAATCTGAGCTTTTCGTATTACATGTTATAAATACCTATGCATGCAGGGGTGTAGGTAATGTAGGGGTGGAGGTAAAGTGTGGCAGCCCCTGCTTTCTGGCTGCTCCTAAGAAATAGAAAGGTGCAGTTCTGTCTTGAAAACTAGTGGTGCAAATATTTTCACTTGCATTTTCCAGCATGCCTGTTCTGTTCAGCCCCGTGCATCCCACCTCTAACCCACTAGTTGTAGCATCCTTGGGTTAATCTGTTACTCTGAAGCTGAAATCTGAGTTTTTACTGTCTGCAGTCATCAAACATGGTGTCCTCCTTGGAGATGGAGCTGTCGAAAACCAAAGTTCAAGCTCATATATTGGAGCAGGAAAACCACATCCTCAAGCAGGAACTAGAGAAGACAAAACAGGTACAGCACCCTGCCCTGGTACCATCCAAGTGATGGGGTTAGAGCCACCATCCTGCTGGCTGTCTCTTCATGTGATCTGTTATCTTGACTGAGTTGGAAATAGTTAATTTATATTTATTTTTAATGGTTAATTTACAAAATGTCATAACACTAGAGGAATATAAATCTTATTGAAAAAACCTCCCCATATGGTGCACAATTGCTCACGTAAGGTTGGTTTCACTTAGCCCTTGCCAAAAGGTATTCCAGAGCAGTGGATATTCACAGATGAACTTCAACAACAAAGACCAAAAATTTAAAGTTCTAATCAAGCAATTTACCAGGCTTTTCTAGGTTGTGTGGGTGGGATGGGCAGGGGAACATCCTCCAGCCACTGAGCAGTCCCTGGTATCTTATCTAGGTCCACAAGAGGACTGGTGTCCTCCATCGTGTCCTCTAGCAGAGATGTAGCATTAAGAGTGCTGCTACCTGGAGGCTTCAGTAGCTCAGAACTTAAAAAGATAATTTCCTGGAGGACTTGGCTGTTGCCCATATAAGCATGGCTCATTTGGCTGTAAATACATGCTAATAATCATAGATAATGAAGGGCACAAATGAGTTAGCCCTCCTGATTAGGGTGCCAAAGTCATTTTCTTCAGAGTAAAGCACTCATTTGATGTTCCTAATGCTTTGTATTTATAATGGTCTTAAAAAGCAAAAGCAGATGAGGCATATTCAGTACAGTGAATTGTGGCTTGAGTGTAATTAAAGACAGAAGATTGAACAGAGACCAAATCACCCAGGAGCAGGCAGACTAAGCTAAAGCACTCTGTCAACTGGGAAAGAGATCAGAAGTCATCTGCATGGTATTTTTTCCCCTTCCTTGGAAGGAGAAATCCAAAACCTTATTCACCTCATCAAGGTTATAAGAGGAACACTGACATTGAGCTGCAGGAAGGAGAATTCCCAATCTGTTGTGGTTATTTTAAAAATAAAGCAATAAAAATGCCATAAAAGCACACAATGAAAAGTAGGTGTATGGAAAGTGCACTTTTCATGGCAATTGGTGTCATGCAACCCAGAGGGCAGATCCTATTAGGGGTTTTATGCTAATACAACTCAGGTAAGAGGCACAGCATCCATCTGCTGGCCTGTGATTTGCAGGAGCCTTAACACAAATCTGAGGAATCGCAGGGTGATTTTGGAGTCCTTAGCATTGTTCCTGCAGGAAGGGTGTCTCAGATTGTGAGTGGTATTTGTATGATCACTCATGAAGCAGCTTGCAGTCTGCTCCCACCTTTTCTGCTCTGCCTGGAACGTGATGCTTGGCCCTGAGGAGGGGAGAAAGCTTCGTGTGACACTTGCAGGCAAAATTCGGAAACAGCACAGGAACTTGACTTAGAGTTGTTTTCCACAGCTGCCCAGATGTGCTGATCTCTCTGACCTTCAAAATGAAGTTTCTAGCTTGATTACTAAAAACGAAAAGCTGCTGAAAGAAAAAGAAGCCCTGAGTGAGGAATTAAACAGATGCATCGACAAGGTAAGACAACTGCAGGCCCATGTCACTCCTGCATGCTGTAACAAGCTGCTAAAATTATTAAATCCTGATCTCCATCATCCCTAACCTGTAAAACTACATTGATTTTTTTAATTTTTTTATCTTCAGTCCAGATAAAGGCTTTATTGCCATCGCCTTTTTACCCTTGCTGCTTTTAGAGAGCTTTTGGAGCACAGCTTTACTGTAATTTGATTATGTAGCAAATTCCAAACATTGCAAGGAATAGAGGGCTGGGTATAAATATTGTAGCGGGACAAGGAAGACAGTGTTCTTGCACTTACTGCAGCTCTGATGTATTGGAGCTCTGAACTGGAGCAGTGCAGTCGGCGTGCCATAAATAATGGTCCTGTTGTGTGGAGATTCGGGCAGGGAGATGAGGGGTTTTTTTTGCTTTCCTGCACTTTCTTTGCATAGCTGTAACTCCATCTAGCTCAACTCCCAAAGTCAAATGGAGTTAAAGAAGATCCTGAACGGTTGGGGCTTAACGATGCAATCTTATTTCAGGTAGCTAAAGTAAGCTTCTTAGAGAATGCAGTCGGCAGCCTCAAGCAGGAACAGAAGTCCTGGGAACAACAGAGTCAGACCCTGAAAGCACAGCTCACAGTCGCACAAGAAAAGGTATAAAAGTGGGTTTTGTTATAGCCCCAAATCAAAAGTATTTCTTAATCTCTTGTAGTGCTTTTTTTTTTCCTAAAAACAGCCATCTCCTAATATGCTCAAAGGCTTCATGCAGCTAAGAATGGACACTTTGATGAGCTTTCAAAGTGACATTCTTAAAGGACAAGAGGAAACTTGTTAAATATGATGAGATCTCTTCCCCCCCCAGCCCCCAGGAATAAGCTGTTTTGCATCTACAGCCAAGTTCCCTTTGCCAATTCATTCAGCCCAGCAATCCCTAGAACACTACAGAGATTCTGCTCCCTCCTTTCTTGGGGTGGTTTGCTTCTTAACAGTCAAGGGAGGAGAACAAATGGTCATTTGCTTGGCTCTTCTTGTTTCTTCTGGGCCATGGGCTGCCAAGAATAAATAACTCAAAAGGAATCTCCTTTTCCCAGCATATCACAGGAAATGTTCTGGGGTGGAAAATGCATATCTGAGTACAGTGTTTTGGCCGTGTTTAAGAGTTTGTGGCTAGCTCCAAGCAGAAATTCAGGGAATCATTTAGCATTTTCAGGAGGTGGGCTGTCACTGGTTTCTTCACCCCCTTCCAACAGGCAGCAGCCAAATCCCTGTAATTTGTGGCATATGTTATGAGCTTGGTGGCTGAGGGGTACAAGTCTTGGTACAGCAAACACAAAGCTGTGTTCCTGCCCCTTACAGGTTCAGAGTCTGGATGAAACGCTGCAAAACACCAACCTCCAGGTGTCCCACCTGAAGTCGGACCTACGGGTGGCGCAGCAGGAGAAGGAAACTCTCGAACAAGAAGTGATGTCTTTACACAAGCAACTGCAGAATGCCAATGAAAAGGTAACTGGCTTCAAGGGCCTCAAATTTGGTCAACTCCACTTGTCAAATTTACAGATTCAGATTAGGAATTTAATAGCAGCTAGTTGCTGCTCTTCTGTAGCCTGTCACTGTAGCCCACTTTATTTTTGGGGGGGTTAGCTTGCTCACTAAAAGGACACAAATAGAGCTGCAGATCTGAGCAAGTAGACTCTGAATTGTGTAATTATTGACTCTTTTGTAAACACAAGTGATAAAAAGCTAACAATAAAAACAACTAGAAGAAGAGTACAAAAAAGTCCTAATTTAATGGATTCTGTTTTAGAATTCAGTTTTAGCTTTCAGTTTTAAAATAGTTGACTAAGTAGTTTTGTAATGTGTATAGCGGATATTTACTTCTAAAATATCTGAATGTGAGGGCAGGCTATGATTCATGTCCTAGGAGTCTTTATTCTTCCTCAGAACAAAATCTTTTCCAAAAAAAATACAAAAAAGCAGTGGGTAATATGAATTTACACAGACTATAAGTGTATCGACAACAAAGCTAGTAATTGACAGGGAGGTCTGATTTTGAAATTTGTTTTTGAAAGGCAGGGTATTGTGGTATTGTAGCAGCCTTTCTCAGCTGATGAGGAACTGTAACTGAAGGAGGTTGCAGACAGCAGTCTCGTGATTGGTGTTATGAATTCAGATACTAATTTGGCTTGTTTGCTCTGTAATTAAAGGAATATTTAATGTCCACATGGAGAAGAGAGTGCTTCAGGATTGTACAACAGGAACTAAATTACAGCTATTACCGAATAATATATAATGGAGTTCTATTATTTGCTTGATGAGGCTGTGAAATAGAGTGCAAATTGCCGTTTTGCATTGTCAAACCGTGTGCACTCACAGTAACCATGCTGGCGCACGGCTGTATCTGTGATTTTAGCAGAGGGAAGCACTTGGGGAAGCACTTGGCTTTGCACCGTGATTAGCGTGGTGGGTTTTATTGGAAAATGGTGCCCAGGCTGGGGGGAAGCTGGGAATCCTGTGCCTTTAGTCTGCAGCTACTGAAAGCCTTAAAACCCGCCTGAAGAGAGCAAATGTCTGCTTCTTTGTTTAAGGCCTAACCCTGCAATTCTGTCTGTCTTAAGAACCGGGTCCTCGAGCGGGCTGTGCCTTCCCCAGGGCCGCAGGAGCAGCAGCAGAGGCGGTCGCAGCGGGACGAGCCGGAGCAGCTCGGGCAGGAGAACGAGCGGCTGCGGAGGGAGGTCCACAGCACCACCACTGACCTGGCTCTCGCCAGGGAGAAGGTAATCTGTGTGCCCCCATGTCACCAGGGCACTTCTTGATGTGAGCCAAGACTCGATGATCCTTGTTTTGCAGCAGGTAGTGCAGAAGGAGGGATGTTGCCCATGAGTTTTGGGTGGAAACTTGAGTAGAAAGAAGGCGTTGTGGGGTGGCTTTCCTTCCTACCTGCACTAAGTAGGCAGGCACTCCTACAGTGGTTCAAACAATGGCTCTTTTTTAAAGAAAACCCTGGTCATTTTAAAGAAAATCTTGGTAACTCCTGTCTTCTAAGATTTGGTTTAACTTTTAGCTATTACCACTTTAAAAAAAATAAAAATAATTCTTCATACTCCCAGCATTATTCACATTTAATTCCTTAGCTTGCAGTATTAGGCAGATTAAGGGGAGAGGGAAGGGAAGACATGATGCTGAAAGCTAAAATGTCAAAATTACCAGAATCTGTTATGAGTCTAACATAGATTGATACTTGATATTGTAGATGATGTAGATGCAATTGATTCACAGTGCAAAGTTAGTTTTGACCTAGTGGAAATGCCATTGTGAAGCAGGCTCTGAATGGTTTGGAATGCCTTTCCACATTTGTTCATCTCTGGTCTCTTTAGATCCGACAGCTGGAATCCACCATCCTTTCCCTGAAGCACCAAAAACATCAAAGCCAGTCAGGTATCGTCAAAGCCATAGAGCAAGAGAAATTAAGCTTGAAGAGAGAGTGTGAACAGCTTCAGAAGGAGTTGTCATCTGCAAACAGGAAGGTTAGTTTCGGATGGTAAACGTGTGAGTCAGTGCTGTGCGTATCACAACAGCTCTCAGAGATGGCAAGCTGTAATTTTCTTTTACTCCAAGCTTTGTGCTCCGTGTCTTTTTACAAATCCCTGTCCCAAGGAGCCCACAGTCTCTCTGTGCCTGTGTGGTGGGGCTGTCGGAGTGCCAGTATGCTGTAGGACTTCTGCTTGGCACAAACAGTACAGTGGTGAAGCATGGGAATATTAAAAAAATAAATAAATAAATAAAAATAAAAAATGCAGCCTTTCCAAGTGCTCTGCAGCACACAGTGCTCACATGCTAGCATTACCACATTTAGACTGAAAACCAGCTACCCCACCTATTATTTGATGCTTTTGTCTGCCACGCTGTATAACATTATCTTAGACACAGCTTTTAACAAAGCATTATGCTTGTCCAAATACAAAAATCTTTTAATCGTGAATCGTCTGGATGTGCAATGACTCATGACTTGCATATTGAACACAGCAGATGAAACGAAGCTACTGCCTTTCTAAGGAAACTGCCTGTCTTTCGTAGATCAGCCAGATGAATTCTCTTGAACATGAACTGGAAACCAGCTCAGAAAATGAAGGGCTGAGAAAAAAGCAAGTCAAGCTGGATGATCAGTTAATGGAGGTACTGTTTGATAGGTGTTGACTGTACTTGGCCATAGGGGGGAGGTTTATCGCTATTTCACTGAATTTGTGGATTTATTTACAAAAAAAATCCTCTTCAGAGGGAAACTGATCGAAACTAGAAGAATCGATCCCCTCTAATAATAATAATGTCATCTTTTATGATCAATAGTACTGTGACAAACAAGTTCCTATGAAGTACACTGGTTTATCATAATTCATGTAAGATCTGATAAGAAGTCAAATAGTGAAGAAATTTGCTTCTGTGCTTGAGGCAAGGCTAACATTTTCCTCTTCCTTCCTGAAACATGTAACCTCAAGTTTCTTAACTAATATTTGCATAATGCTGCTCTTAACATAGAAACCTGTTCTTATTTACTATGGGAATAATTTGCTGAACTGAAGCCTTGCAAGCTTATCTACAGCATAATCAAATAACAATTTATGCAACTTGCTTTTAATCTAAAGGCATGAGTGAAAACTTCAGTTGAGACTCTTCAAAAGCCTCCCATAAATGTGGAGGCTTGTCTGGTGTTGCTGGAGATGGATTGTATGTTATGGGAACTGCTTAATTCTTAGGTGATCCTGGTTACAGGAACAGAAATGTTTAACTTAAGTTGCTGTATCCCCTGTGGTCAGGACTGACCTGGGAGCTGTCTCCACGATTTTGCCTGAATTTGAGTCTAAACCATAACCCCCTCAAAGTTTTGGCATGTTCCATAAATTAAAGTATCTTCTAGATACGGCTTTTACAACGCTGTTAAAAATATCTCATCAAGTGAGTGAATGGGAAACATGTTATACTGAATATATTATGCAATTTAGCTGTAAAATTATTAATAACTCAATTGCAAAAGATGAGATCTTGACGAGTTACTGACTCGTTCTTATAAGTTTTTATATCCTGTGCTTTTATGTGTTCTTAATTATGCTTTGGGAAAAATCCAGACACTTAAATCCTTCAGTACAAACATCAAGTGTGGAATTACATTTCCTCCCAAAATTTTGTATTTCACACATGCAGGATTTTTGTTACTTCTGATAACATTTTCCCAACAGGTGTGTATAACATTCACTTAACGCTTTGACTTCTAACTTTCTCTTTTGTGCCTGTTCTCCTTTTGTTCATGGCTAACCTGTCTAGAGCTCAGTGGTTGGAACTAGCAGAGAAGGGTGCAGTTCTCTTTCTGAAATAGTGTGCGAAGGTAGAGCAATCATTTTCAATGTACTACCATAGCATGGAGAAAACACGTTGTCTTTTATGGATTTCTATTCCATGTGTCTCTTAAGCAAAGAAGCCACTATTCATTTTAATGTAGTGTTCTTTGATAGCTGCCCTAATTTGGTGTGGCTAGCATATTTCTGTGATTTGATTATGTAGGCAAAAAGCTTCATGTTTGTAAGGCATTACTGTGAAAATCGAGAAAAGACCAATTGCATCCCAAAGAATTAAACTGATCGTAAGAAAATGAAAAGTGGCTCAACCCCTTCCTTCTAACCCAATGCCTGTGAGGCTTGAAGGTGTTCTCATGTTTACCTCTGACATCCTGCATGCTTTTTGACCAGACAATCGTTTCCTTAATACCTGATGTGTGACCGCACTCACCCTAATAGTCTAGCAAGTTCATTACTGTTCTACTTCCTTCCACAGCTGAATATGGCAAAATACATTGTTTTCATTAACTATGCCACCGGTATTTGTTTTGAAGATGTTGTTAACATTTATTGATTGTTTCATCAGCACTTCCATTAGTTACTCATGTGTTTTACAACATCATAGCAGCATCATATGAAACCCTAAACAAATTCCACTGAAATTTCATTATTTCCATGATTTTACATTGTCTGTAAAGGACCTGTTCTTTTACTGACAAGTTGATTCAGGAGAACCTACTAATAGATTTCAAAAAAGTTGTATTTTCTAAAGTATTTTTAAAATATTATAAATATTTAAGTTTATATTCTATTTACTTGGGCCAGCAGAGGTGAACAGACACTAACATGGCCAGGTGCTGACATTACCACACTTCAAACAGGCCAATACTATGTCTACATTAGAGCAGTACCCCTGATACCAAAACTACACCATTACGAGAAAGGCTTACAGTTGATTCCATTATAGATGAACTCAATAATTGAACTACGGTTACTAATTGAGCCCTTAATTACAGCATTTGCGAAAGGAAAAGTAATACCACTAACATAGTCTCACATACCTTTCCCTAAGGGACCAGAGTAATGGTTATGAGATAATGAGGGAGCATTTTATGATACGGTTAAATGACTTTTACAGGAAGAATGATCTTTACAGGAAGAAAGCATTAATCTTATGCAAATTCAAGCTGCAAAATGGCTTGCCTGAAACATCAGGGGTTTTACTGTGTAGTTTAAGGGGATTTTTTAGTATTATAACTCGTTACAGCTCTGAGATAGTCTTACCTGGATTTTATTGTAGTTTGGAAAAATCACACAAAACAATTTCTATTCATAATATTGTACAAAAGTTCATCTAATTCTGGGATAGTTTATCTGTCTCTTCTAATTACAACGCTACTATAGTGAGGTAATTCCAGAAGTGCCTGACTTCTCTACCCACTTTCATCCAGTAACTGTCATGGCATTGCCTGGCAGCAGCACTTAACTAAAAGATGTGGGAAAGCTAAACCTTTTCGAGCAAGTCTGTTCTTAAATGCTCTTTTTGCTACAGCAAGGATGATTATGAATGTGAATTATTACATGTGAGTGGCCTCGTTGTACTGCTACAGAAGCTTTTTTTGGTATAACTTCACAAAGGGCACCCAGTATGTGCACACTCTGTGTTGGCAATAACTGCCTTTTATATAACAGACTTGGTACATGCAGTAACTTTCTTAATGAAGGCAAGACTTAAGTTGGGAATTAAACTACTTCAGGTTACTACATGCATGCATCTCTCAAGGGCCCCTCTGGGTACACTTGCTTATGCAGCACAGTCACTTAGGACTCCAGAATTTCTACCAAGCTCTGCTTGTGGTGTGACTCAAAATGAAAATCATAAATTGTGCTGAAATTTCTACAGTAGTGAACATAAAGGTGTATGGGATACTAAATACTGAATTTTGAATATAATGTAGCAGACAGCATGAAATTACTTGAATTACCATACACAAAAGGAAAATAAGTTTTCTATATAGGGAACTTATCTCTCCATCCTAAATTAAAGACTAGAAATGAGCAGCACTGCTGGACAACAGCCTGCCTCGTGCTAGTGCTTTTATTTGTAACTAGATACTATTTTGAAAGAGTTGCTAAGATCAAGGTGAAAATTAAAAAGGAATATTCAAGTTAAAGCTCACCACAGGCCCATTTAAGTTTGACATGATTTTATCAGAAATTCAGTGAATTATGGTTCAGGTCTGAAATTATGAATCAAAGTTCACTCTCCTTTAGACTTCAGCTGTAGAACTACACATAGAGAGGCATTTTTTCATTGGAAAGAGGAGTTTTAGCTTCTGTTTCTGACTTCAGTCTTGTTTTTCTCGTGTACAAGGAATTATTTAAGACTAAGCTGATGTCTAGTGAACCGTGTATCATGCAAAAGAAACTCTGAAAAACACCTTGTGTGAACTGCAGTGCTGCTTTGTGCTGATGGCGATGTGTTTTGCTGTTCAGATGCGACACTCCAGCAGCAGCGTGATGCTTAGCCAGCCGCCGCACCCCTGGGAGCTCCAGCAGCAAGGCTGTGCCGTGGTGCCCAAGGACCAGTTCCTGCAGCTCCAACACCAGCTACTACAAGCAGAGAGGAGGAGTCAACGTCTTCAGGAAGAACTTGAAAGCAGACCCTCTGAAACAAACATGCAACAGGTAAAGCCCTCGTTTCTCTGCAGGTTACAACTTTAGAAGGGTGGTTGGTTAGCTGACTGTTTTTTTTTTCATTTGGACGAGATCCATTCTCTGTTTATGCCAGTTCAAAAATTAAAATTCATCCTAACAAAGGTTTGTTTTGTACATCTTTGACATTTAGTATATTTAGCTTAAGCCAGTAGCTCATTTCTGACGTCCCCTTCTTGAAATAAAATCACTCCTATCCACATTCAACTGGCTTTTCTCCTCCTGATCAATGTGCAGTAAGTTTTTAGTTTTTTTTTTTTACCTACTGTCCATGTCTGGAACCATTGTCTTGAAAAACACCCTACATGTGCAACATCATATATACATCAAATATAAAACATCCGTTTTGGCAGTTCCTGTCAGAAGGAATCCTACTGTCAGAGGTAGTAGAGCATAATACAAACAAGGAATCCCTTTTATAGGGTCAGCCCATCTGCATTATTTGGTCATGACAGGGCACTGTTTGGACAACACTGTTCCTGTTATACAGAGACTTCACCATCGGCATTTCTGAAGGAAAACAATAATTCCAAGGAAGAATACAGTCATTCGGCATGTTGGGCTGAATCACTTCTAATATTTTAACATGTTAAGTTATAGGTAAGAAGCTTATAGGTAAGAATAGTAATAAACTCTGGTAGAAAATGTAGCATTTCCCATAAGAAAATAAGATTTTAATTAGGCTTGCCAAATGACTTGTTTCTTCAGAAAGTATCCAGATCTCTAAAGCCTCAGCTCTGGCCATTTGTCTTAAGATCAAGTTGTATTATCTTATATGAAAAGATAAATAAAACACTGACGTTTTTATTAGAAATATAAGTCTCTTAATCTGTTAGCAGGAAAAAAAAACTTTACATTTTACACTGGGTTGTTGCATTATAAAATATAAATAAAAATATATATGTATAGCAAAGTTCAAGACTGAAGTTCAAAAACCTCTGACCACGCATAATCATACCATCATGCCATAAATAGGGTATTTATGAAAAAAGTTATGGAGAGAGAATATATGCAGCAATAATAGTTCCTAAAGCCTACAAAACTTGGAGTAAGATTTTATTTTTAATAAAGACATTAAATTGAATGCTTTTCCCTCAAAAAAAGGAGCTTAGCAGCAAATAATATAGGATAAGGAAAAAAAGCAATTATAAGGTTCTCACTTTCAGCTGAGTCCTGATGGAAATGCATTACCACAGGCTAATGTGCTTGGTTGCATATGCTGGAAAGCAGAGCATGCAGTTTAATTTTGAAATCAATAAAAGCCATCTTACAGCAGTAGCATCTGCAAACGAATGGGCTGTGAATTGCATTAGGAGTCATTTTGTAATTTTGCCTTTGAAAGCCTGAAAAACAATTTGCAAACTAGTCACATCCTGGAACTCGTAGTTCTACAGATGCATTGCTTATGTTTCCTGTAAAAACCTTTTATCCTAGAAGGCTTCATGAAGTTAAAAATCCTTTTAGAGAGGTTTTGCAAGTATTTGCTGTCAATATACTTGATCCTTTTAACTTTAATTTTTATATTGATTTTTGCTTAAAGTGAATGGGTATCAACAAGCTCCCAGTTTACATCTCCTACAGCTGTTTTCATGAGCTGTACTACATAACTTTCTAAAATTGTTAAACATGCATTCTATAGCAATTAAAAAAGGCTAAATTTGTCAGTACTTTAAGCTGAGACAAACTAAAACATTTCTCTAAGCACATCTTCCTTTAATTCTCATTGATTCTTTTTTTTCCCTTCACCATCATTGGCTGGATATTAGGAAAAATACCTTGAAAAACATCTTCACTGAAAAGGTTGTGAAGTCTTGGAACAGGCTGCCCAGGGAAGTAGCTGAGTCAGCATCCCTGGAGGTCTTCAGAAAACGTGTAGGTGTAGAGCTTAGGGACATGGTTTAGTGGTGGACTCAGCAGTACCAGGTTAAAGGAAGGAACAGATGATCTTAAAGATCTTTTCCAGTCTAAATGATTGTATGGCCCTGATTTCTAGGGTTAACATCTAGTTGAGCTTATGGCCATTTTAATGTTCCCTTTAGCATGTTGAAAAATTGCACCCTAATCCTTCATCCTTACACCAGGGAGTACAATGTCAGGTTGTCCATGTTAAATTTACCTAGTCACTACCTAGTTTTGCTGCTACTGCTTTGCACCTTGCAGCTTTCTTATTTCAGGTTCCCAAATTTATCCTCCTCTTTGGAATTCCTGTGTCCTCATGCTTTGCAACTTCATTTGCTTTCTGATCGTGGTGGTCTGTGTTCTCATTTGTATGACAGCCAGTGTTAGCTGTTGTCCACCAAGGTTACAATTCAAGCTTCACCAGAATAAAACTCCTCAGCCTTTTCTCCTGTGGTGACCTGTCTGCGCTCTCCTGAACTACAGATGACTGTGCCTGCCGTGGCTAGTGCTGTGATCCCTGTTGCACAGTAGCAATTGCTGCACTCCTTTTCCCTTTCCCTTCTCCCTTTCCTTGCCCAATAACTAGAGCTGTGGGCCTGTTAGTGACCCAAGTTCCCTTACAGCCTCTGCTAATCCCTATTTTTGTTCCCAGTACTTTGAGTTGCTCAACTCCCCCCTTATTCTGGTCTTAAGTTGAAAACTCAAATAACCTCCGACCCAACAGCTTGTTCTGTCTCAAGAAGAGACTTGCGACTAAGTTTAAAATAGAAATGCAAGCAAGTTTTCCAAGGAGGTCAGCTGGACTGCATTTTTCACAAATGCTATTTGGCAGTCTGTGAGACACACATAGCAGCAGATAATTTCCTCTTGAGAAACTTAACTGCTTTGCTAATTGCACTTAATTACTGTTATTGATCTTAATCCCCCAAAAATCTGGATAAACCCTCTTCAGAGACCTAACGTCTAGGAAATGCATCCTGAATATTTCCTTAATTGCATTTGTGTAGCGCTAATACGAGTATTCAGAGAAATAGTGTGATACTCTGCATGCTTTCTTGTGTGTTTTATGTCTTGTGTTGCTTGCTTAGCTTGTATCGATGGTTTGCTTTAAGTACATATTTAAAAGAAAATCTGGATATCAGGGTGAAGTATCCCACTTGCCTTCTTTCTCTAGGCCTTGCTACCGGAGCAGCGAGCAGTGCATGCAGATTCCTACAGGAGGATCGGGCACCTCTGACAGCTTGGCTGCTTATGATCTCATTCCTTACCATGATAAACACACACAAACACACGAACTGGCATAAGCTGAGAAACTTGAGGATCAAATGTTGTGTTTTTTTTCTAAAAAAAAAAAAAGTCTTCACAGTGTTATTTCCTATTTATTTGTCTAGAAGCTATTTTGTGAAAGCTCATAAGCTGCCCTTTTTAATTTGTTACAAATCTTTTCTATTTATGTTATTTAAAATGCGGATTTGTTCAACGGGGAAAGAGACTATTTTTCTCAAATGGTATTAATTTTATATGAGACTTGAAGAAAATCTGAGGTATTTATACTGCATTTTTGTAAAAGATGTATAAACTTTTTAACAGGGAGAGATGACATTTTTGATGTAAATGAAAAATAAAATTTTTTTTAAACATAATGTCTCCTGTCTTAATAGTATCGATAGTCTCAGCTTTATTTATGATGAAGAATTAACAAATTAGACCATGTCATGGATATTGAGGATTATTTTATCAGGACTTCACACTGAGGGTGGTGAGACCCTGGTGCAGGCTGCCCAAGGCCAGGCTGGATGGGGCTGGGGGCAGCCTGGGCTGGGGGCAAGGGTCTCTGCCCTTGGCAGGGGCTGGGATTCGATGGGCTGTGAGGTCCCTTCTAGCCCAAACCATCCTGTGATTCTATTCTATGACTTCTGGTAAGGATTTGTAGCATGGGATATACTCACATGCAGATACGCTGCTTCCCCAGCAGATGTACATTCAATTTTGAGAAAACTTCCAGAACACATTCACGTATCTTTCTGTTGTGACCATAAAGTAAAAATAGTTCCAGAAAAGGGGAAAATTATTAACAGCCTTTTTTTTTTTCCCTCTGATGGCATTCCTTACTCATTTTCTTTGGTCTCAAATTACTAGATTAAATGACGTTTCTTTTCCCTAGTAATTTGAGGTCTACCACTGCTGCTTTCAGACCTATGTTTTTTCTAGTTGGGAGCCACGAACCTTTTCAGCTGTTTCCTTTCAACGATCCTTTTGCTTATCTTAATGACCTTAAAGCTAATGTTTGAGCTGGCTTTTCCCTTTAAACATGCAATAATATGAAATTAGGCAGAACCTTCTCAAATTAACTTTAAGCCAAACAACAAGGATCACAGATGTTGAGACCACTAATTCATAGATTCCACTAAACTACTCCCTCAAAGCTCCTGTAACCAGTAAGAAATGCGATGTTCAGCCACGTTTTTGAATTCCAATCAAATTACAAAAGATAGCTGAAGATAAGTTGTTTAGAAAGTCCCTTGCAAATTCTGCTTAGTAGTACTTTTATTAACCTGGAACCATCTCCTGTCCAGCAACACTTTAAAACTGCTTTCTGTACAGCTCTCTGCAACTTTTTTCAACTTTATACAATCACTTTGCTTGTAAAAACCCCACACAAAGCCTTAAAGAGTTTCTGGTGTTCCAACTAATAGTATGTTGAGTGGACATCCATCAATCCAAGAGGCTCTTTCTACAGTGGTTTAGATGAACAACCAACTTTTTGAACAGGTCTCCTTCCTCAGGGTTTTTTCATTCATTCTGCCCCCAGAAACATGAAGGTACTTTGGTTTTGAAGGTGTTTTGTTTTAGGGAGGTTAGTGCTTTCTCAAAGGTAATCTGCTCAGATGACTTCCTAACATTAGCATCAATAGGAAGACAACTGACTGCTGGGAAGTGGATTTGAACTCCTTATAGTTCCTGGTGTTTCTGATTTATTTGGGAAAACCTCACTCAACCCCTGGTGTAACAGGTGCCCTCATGACAATGAGTTACTATCCTTTTAATTAGATTGTCCATCACTTCACTGAAGGAAAACAGCAAAAGCATGGCTAGAGTATTCAGATTATCTGTCTACAGCTAATCTGAAGAAAGTAAAAAAAACAAGTTTGGAATAACTAGCATCCCTACTTTTTTAGGATATTATTCCATTTCGAGGGGTCTTTGGCACAGAAGAGTTGCACAAAGTGATGCCATTATGCCATTGCTTTTTTTCCTTTTCTTTACCCCTAAAGTCACTACAGATTTGATGGGTATTGTTTCCCACGTTCAGCAGGTATGTGGTAACACCTAAAAACAAGAAAAGGAAGCGATCCAGATCTAATTAGCACAGAGAAGATGGAAATTAGAATTTTAGATCAATTTGTCTTAGATCTAGTAATCTAAAATATAACTTAGATTTGGAAAAATCCATTAAAGCTGTGAATGTCCTTTAAACGTTGCCATAAAATTTTGCTTCCACGAGCTGTTTATTAACTTAGTTGACTCTTTAAAATGGACTCAAGCATGGATTGCCAACTTTTTTCTTACGCATAAAGTGAAAGGAAGAAGGCTGGTGAATGGGAGCAGCTCATCGTTAACTGATTCTCTTGTTGCTTTCCAGGGGGGTCATGAGCAGCTTCTGAAAATGATGGAAGAACGCATGATGGATGTTGAACAGAAACTGAGGCTTGTGAAGAGGCTTCTCCAAGATAAAGTAAATCAGCTGAAAGAACAAGTAAGCATTCTTGCTCTTTTCCCAACTCTTCCCCATTGCTTCTGTAAACAGCTAGGCGAGCTAAAGCCACCAAATCATTCTTGCTGAAAAGAAAGTTAAAGGAGTTTTCCTTTCTCTTTTAATGCATCTGAACTGCAGTAGAGCATATTTGCCCCAAACTTCCCCCAAATCCAAGCTGGGACCGTATTCACTAATCATTAATTATTTATTTATCACTAATCATTAATTCATTAATCATTAATCCCGACAGCCATGCATGTTTGGTATGCTGATACACTTAAAGCTGGGAAACAAACGCCAAATTTGGGCCAAGTATTTTAACTAGAAAAGTTGCTTAGAAAAGGAGGAAAGCAAATTTCCTGAAGAATACAGATGGGATTAGTGTACAATACGGATTTTTTCCCACATCCTCTGCCCCATTACACCCTTTGCATGATGTGATTTTGGGGTTTCCATTCTTGCCCTGGTCTGCCTTCTTCAGAAGTTTCCAGGAGCGTAGGAAAAGCTGGCTTCTGAACTCTTAGGAAGGCGTGACATGATAACAGTGGGGAGAATATCTATTTTCTACTGAGGTACAGTCTCCTCTCTCATGTTAAGTAAGTGCTACACTGACAGGGCCTTCTGCTAAAGGGCTGTTCCCAAAAGCATGCAGACAAGCGCTAGGTGCTCTCCCTAATTTTACAGGGGGAGCTGGCAGTCCAAACCTCTGTGGAAATATCTCTGGGGGATCATGGGGTGTGTGAAGTTGATCTGTCTTTAGAGGACAAACGCTGTAAAGCAGTAATTATCTGACAGACAAGTCATTTGAAGCACTCCGATGTCTGCATGAGCTTTCAAGTTCCTCACAAAGTCTTTCTGGTTTCAAAACATTCACAGGATCCACAAGGACTTCACAAATATATAGATTTTAACAAATGAATATAGCATGAATGGGTGGGCTGTCTTCCTCTAATATGTTACATGAACACATTACCTATATTCCCAGCTGCTGTTCTTGCTTTTAATTATTCTTAATTTTTCTTTTGCTTTTAATTTGCTGAGTAATTGTGTTTCATTCACAGTAATTGTGTTTCGTTCATTTGCTGAGTAATTCTGTTTCATTCACAATTCAGCTTTCCAAGAACACTAAAGCAGATGCAATGGTCAAGGATCTCTATGTTGAGAATGCACAACTGCTGAAGGCTTTGGAGATGACAGAACAGCGCCAGAAAACTGCTGAAAAGAAAAACTATTTACTAGAAGAAAAAATTGCCAACCTCAATAAAATCGTAAAGAACTTGGCATCCCCATCTTTTAGTTCAGCATCCGAGTTAAGGTCATAGCAAAGCCATTAAGTATGCCACAATCCCGTGCACTTTACTGAAATGTTAATATTTCAGCTTTTCACTATGTTGCCTTTTCTACTGGTGAATTTTAGTTAACAGATGCCTCCAAGGAGATGGCAGAGCTAAATCCCAAACCAGACACTGCCAACAGATCTTTTGTTTATTCCCACACTATTTTTCTGCTAAATTTTGCCTAAAAGTAATTTTTGCTATTTAAAAATACAGATGTTTTTCTAGGTTAACTTATTTTGATACTTTGGTTTTCATTTAAAATACAAATTCTGAATTTACTGATTTGGTTGTATCTATCTAGATTGAAGCCAATGTCTAATGCAAACTTATGGTATTGAATTAAAACTTTAAAATTCTTTTCATTTTCTAGGGTACTTCGTGGCCCAAATGTAGTAATATTGACGGGTCAGTCTTGAACACTGTCAGTGTAATTGCTATTGAAAGCAAGACTTTACTGTTGTCATCTGTATCCTGCAATCTGGTTCTAGTTTCTGTAAAGCAATATGCTCCACCTTACGCATTAGGCATCTGGATTTTTCTTCATGGCTGTTTTTCTGCAAAGCTCAGAAGAAAAAAAAAAAAGGAAAAAAAATATTAAAATATGTAAATAGACTACCGCATCCAACTAAGCATAACCGTATTTTATCAGAAGAAATTTCCCAGATGGCAAATAAAGACTACTGCTTTTTTTTTTTTTTTTTTTTTTAAACTGTGCTGCCAGACAACTTAAAAATTGCAGAGGCCTTAATTTTTTGTGTGTGGAAATTAGTTATGCTAAACAATGGAAGAGTCGTTAAACAGAAGTGAAGAAGTGAGTTTATATAACTTGTAAATGGAGTAAAGCAGTGGAGTATGTTTATTAAGCAGCTGGCGGAAGAATGAAGAGGGGGATTTGGGCGATTTTTTCAGTGAAATCCTGTCTTTAGGCCTCACAGACTGTGAACTTTTGCCACTTAAGCAGAGTTCCGTTTGATGTGAGTGATGATGTAGAAAGGTGTGTCGTTTGTACTAAGTCCTGATACAGAATCTAAGTTTGTAATTAATTGTGAGGAAACATATTTGATGTGAATACAAAAAAACTCAGGGAATAATAGCCTATATTACTTTCCTTCGATATAATACATGTGGATATTAATGTCACTAGACGAAGATAAGCATGCATTAAGAGCAGGATACACCAAACTGGTTGAGTATTACCTTAATGCTCCCAGACCAACCTGCAGTAGTGTTGTAGCTGTGGAGGCTGAAGAGCATCCAGGTTTGTAATACCTCCTATTTGATGAGTTTGTGAGGCTAGGGAAGTGCAAGTGCAACAAGAAGTAGCCGAATAAGAGCCTGCATGCTCAAGCTTGTATATAATCCATTACTACCAAACAACAGTCTGAAGGAGAGGCTGGCTCTCCCTCCAAATGCCCTGCCTCCAGCAGTAAGTCACACTGAAGCAGCGAACATAAAACTGGTGCAAGGGGCCACGCTGGCAATACTTGAAACTGGACCTCTTTACGTATGCATCATCGTGGTTGCAGAGGAAGAGGGCAAGGTTCGTTGTCTCTGGGACCACTAGCAAGGTGACACTTAAACTAGTGTTTGTAATGAGCCAGATGTCTCCCAGACTCTGGGATTAGACTGCCTGCAAGCTGTTGAGTAACCTATTGAATATTATTTTCGCTTGGTACTGACTAGCATGTGGCTGTAGGGGATGCCCTCTATGTCTAAAGGGTTACCTGCCGCTTGGAGGGTTGACAGACTCAACTATACATTCTGCATACGACCTCCTCTTCTCCCCTCTCCTCCTCCATCCCTTTATGCAAGCAGTGTAGTGGAAATGGAAATCCAATAATGGAATACCTTAGAGTAACACAAAATCCTTTTAAATTATTTCACTACTCTGCTATTCTAAAAGCCCGTGATGGTTATTTGTCTGCATAATCTCAGAGATTTACATATCCCATTTTTCACAGGCTGCAAAAACAAGTCACTTTGACAAATTGCATTGGCATAAATCGGAGCTTGCTTTCAAAATCTGAAGTAGGGAGATCTTTCGTCTTTTTACATTAATCACTGGTATCAGTTATAATAAACCTGTGTGTGCGGGTACCAGGGCTGTGTGTTAGCAATATGGTAGCTGAGCTAAAATCATGCTTATGCTATGGAAATTAGCAAAGTTTTAAAATACTTCAGGAAACATAGGTGAGGTTCAGATAATCAGGACTGTACATATTATCAGCTAGTACATTTTAACGCTCCTTCGTATGGTAACCTAGATTTAGTAATAATGCTCTGTATGTGACCAAAGTCTGAACACTGACATAAGTGAGTACTTCACTTGAGCTACTGTGGAGTTAATTTCACATTACTCATTTTAAAGGCTAGACTACTTACCCAATTCATTTAATCTCCTGGAATTTACCAGTTGTTTTTTTGTTTTGTTTTGATTTTAATCAGACATTTCTAGAGCACAGTACAAGCCAAAATATGGTATTATCATCGGAATATAAGGAAAAAGAAAAGGGATCTTGACTTCTTTTCTCACCCAACCCTGTCACTCTCATTTTTTTTTCACTTAGCTTCAAAAAATTAACCTAAACACAAGAGAAAGTAGAAGGATGGAGGGAGAAGAAAATGGTAAATATTTTTTAGACAAAACTCAAATTTAACTGGAATACTTGCGTGAATTAATTCCCAAAAGTGCCTTTTGTGATTACATACACTACAGCCTTTCTGTACTGTACCGTTTTTGTTGCTAAAGGACAATTTTCAGGACAATCCCTTCCCAGGTGGAGGGAACGCAGAGAAAGGTAGCGCTGCTTGCCAGCGGGTGTAGTGTTGCTTGTTGGTTCGTTGTGTCAGCAGCTCGTTCTACAAAATTAAAGCTACTGAAAATAAGCATACAAACATGTAAGCGTTCAGCATTTGTGGTCTTTTGTGCATGAATGTGTCTCCTACGCAGCACAGGCGTTTTAAAGATACCAAAGTATTTACTGGTATTCTGACAGTCAAAGCTCACCGCATTTCTAGGCAGCGTTCCTGCAACAGGTCTCACCAATTAAGATGTTAACCACTTTATTACCAGGAGGTGTTCTGAAAGCATTCAACTCTTGCTTTGTGAATCACTGTGAAAATAAAGGCACAGAGATATTTAGGGTTGGGATTTGGGGGAGAGGCAGTGGCGGTATGTGACCGAGTTAAATTTACCCGTACTGAATTCACACAGGTGGACATGCTGTGTGTCGATTTAGGATGACACAAAGGTTCATATTCTTGAATTACCACTTTAAATACAAAGAAACAAAATTGAATTCTTTGAATTCTGATGGAAATAAAGGGTTGTAACATACATAATATTAGCCAGATTGTATGTAAGGTAGAGTAGGGGACAGTGGACCTGTCAGGAGTCAAATGCCCTAGTTTACTTTCAGCAAAAGTAAAAAAAAAAAAGTTTTACTTTCTCTCAGGTTTTCCATCGTTTACCTGTTAGGTCTCCTGTGCTGTGTCAGACGCTGTCATTGCTGCCGTGTCGTGTATAAACGAGAACAATTGTATATATTTTCTATTACGTTTTGTTCCAGTGTAATATATTGTCCTCTCGACATCATGTAAAACTGAAAGATGAACCAACTTACATGTTATTTATAATGAATGTAAAAAAAATAAAAAATAAATGACTGTACGATCCCTGTGTGTGGTGGCTTTTATTATTATTATTATTATTTTTTTATTATTATTTTATTTTATTTTATTTTATTTTATTTTATTTTTATTTTTTTATTTGAACGTGATTGTAATATGCCAATAGTTTGGTACGTTCCCATGCAAGCTGTAGGTGTTTCAGGCAGTACCTACAATACTGGGATCAATGTGTATGGACCTACAGGATACCTACGAGCACACCACGGTATCAAAAAGTCGTTTTTTTTCCATTATGAGAGCATGAAACCGTTTAACGGATAAAAAACTGATGGGCAGCGAGCCAGGTTTACGTCAGAGCACACCCTGCCCTCACCTCACATACGAATTCTCCACCTTCACAGTACAAGCTATAAGTATACGTGAGTTATAACTTATTATACAAGTATAAATAATATCCTCGTCCTGGAAATTTAGTATCTTGAAGTGTTTTGTGGTGACTGAGGGAAAGGTAGGCACCGTTCCTGTCAGCGTCCCCCCCCCTTCACAGTACACAGTTGTAAGTATATAAGAGCTACAACTTATAGAAGTATAAACTACACAAATATAAGTTATATCCGCATCTTGTAAATTTAATTTTGTAGTGTGTTTTGTGGTGACTGAGGGAAGGGCAGGGCACCAGTTCCTGTCAGCGCCCTCCCCCATTCACAGTACAAGTTATAAGTATATAACTTATACAAGCATAACTTATACAAGTTACACAAGTGTAAATTATATGAGATATCCCTGTTTTGTAAATTTAATCTCATAACGTGTTTGTTTTGTGGTGACTGAGGGAAGGGTGGGTACCATTCCTGTCAGCGCCCCCCTCTTCACAGTACAAGTTGTATGTATATAAGAGTTATAACTTATACAAGTTATACAAGTATAAGTTATACAAGTATAAGTTATATAAGTTATATCCCCATTTTGTAAATTTGATCTCGTAACGTAGTTTTGTGGTGACTGAGGGAAGGGCAGGCACCATTCCTGTCAGCGCCGCCCCCCCCCTTCACAGTACAAGTTATAAGTATATAATTTATACAAGTATAACTATACAAGTTACACAAGTATAAATTAAATAACTTACACCCCTATCTTGTAAATTTAATCTCGTAACGTGTTTTGTGGTGACTGAGGGAGGGGCGGGCACCATTCCTGTCAGCGCCCCCCCACCTTCACAGTACAAGTTATACGTATATAACTTATACAAGCATAACTTATAGAAGTATAAATTACACAAATATAAGTTAAATAACTTATTTCCCCTCTTGTAAATTCAATCTTGTAACGCGTTTTGTGGTGACTGAGGGAAGGGCGCCCACCATTCCCGTCACACACTACGCATGCGCCCTCCCGGCCGCGCGGTGGCGCTGTGCCCCCCCCCCGCGGCCATTCCCTCAGGGCGGGGCCGGGCGCCCCACAACCCCCCTCGCGTGCGCGCGCGCGCTGTAGGCGTGTTGAGGGGGGGGGTGGGCGCGGCCGGGGGCGCGCTCGGCGGGGGCGCGCGCGGTCGGGCACGCGCTTCCCCCCCCTCCCCTCCCCTCCCGCGCCTCAGGCCCTCAACGGGCGGCCCCTGAGGGAGCGCGGCCGGGGGCTGAGGGGGCGGCGGGGCCGGGGCCGGGTATGCGGGGCCGGTCAGGGGGATGCTGTCGCGGAAGAAGACCCGCACGGAGCTCTCGAAGCCCGGCGAGGTGCAGGGCAAGTACGTGAAGAAGGAGACGAGCCCGCTGCTCCGCAGTGAGTGTCAAGGGGCCCGGGGGGAGGGAGGGGGGAGCGGTTTTGTGAGGTTTTTGTGGAAAATTAGCAAGCAGGAGTTTGAGGTGCTCGCTGTGGGTGTTTGGAGGGAAAAGGAGATGGAATTGTGAGGTGTTGTAGTGGCTGGGTTAGCTGAGGGACCACCAACACCCAGCTCCCAGCCTGGTCACATCGGCCTGGCGCTTAATTAATACACATTAAGGCCTTTAAATCAACCTGTGGGTGTATCTGGCGGCCTGAGGCCTCTCACCCATCTGCTGCTTGCCGTGATGTAACCGTGGGGTGCCTGTCATAAACTGCCTGATTACCCCTCCTGGGAGGCACTGAATTCGTGGGGCCGGTCGTTAAATCATAACTTCACAAGGGCTTTGTTAATAGGCTTAATGACAGGCACGGCTTCCCTCTAAATTGGAGGTGCTTGCAGTTAGCTCACCTGGAAGGGCAGGACAGCAGATATTGAAGCCATGCTGAAGGCAGTGGGAGCGGGGCGAGGCTTTGTCTGTGGGGCTGCGTGAGGGGGTGTCAGCGCTCACGTGCCAAGCTCCTTTATCTGAAGGAGAAAGCGAAATTTTCTAATGGCTTGACGATTTACACGCACAAAAAGGCAGTGTTTTGCTGCCCAAACTTCATATTTAAGGGAGAAAGGACAAATTCCGTGCGTGGTTCAGCTGTAGGCAGGGTACGTGGATGCTCTGGGCCATGCGGGGAGGAGAACGATGAAGCCTGGCTGGCGTAAGCCACAGACAGGGGGTGGGAGGTGCCGTGTGTTGGTTTTTGTAGCTGCGATTATGCTGCCAAAACTGTGCTTTTTTTGTTGCAGGCAGAGGGTGTGTGGCTTTTGTTGTGGCAGCACACGCTGCAGCATTACCGTTATACTCACATGTCCATTAGAGCTGCTTTAAAGGGATCCTGGCATTCGAATTTCCCCGTTTCCATGGTGTAAATCTAGCAGTGTAGCCAGCCAAATACATTAAGTGCACACGCAGTTCTTATTTCTCTTTTATTCTATAACAGATCTGATGCCTTCATTTATCCGCCACGGTCCAACCATTCCAAGACGAACTGATATCTGTCCTCCTGACTCCACGCCTGCGTATGCTGCTGGGGGAGATGGAATTGTTTCCAGGAACCAGAGCTTCCTTCGAACTCCAGTGCAGAGGCCACCTCATGAAATAATGAGACGGGAAAGCAACAGACTGTCTGCACCCTCCTATCTTGCTAGAAGTTTAGCTGATGTCCCTAGAGAATATGGCTCTTCCTCCCAGTCCTTTTTAACAGAAGCTAATTCTGTTATGGAAAATGGAGACGCCGGTGCCCGTTGCTACTATTACGATCACTTTTATGATGCCCAAAGGAGACGGCAGTTAAATGACCGCTTGCATGAGGACTACAGGTATTACGAACACAACAGTGATCTTTTCCAGAGGATGTCCCAGAATCATGGGAGGCACACTTCAGGTAAGTGTGGATTATTTCTTGTTTTTAAACTGTTATTGAAAGCCTTTTGGTGTGACAGTCTATCTGTGGTCATGTTTCTGAGTTACGCTTGCAGGACAGAGCTTCCTTTCAGTGACATTTCCATGATCTGAGTATGTGTTGACACTTCTTAGTATTAACAGTTCAATTGCATGTAGACAGTGATTGATTTATGGAATAAATAAGGTAAGTTTGAGCAAATTTACCTTAATCCCAAACCTATGTGCAGTTTTTTTCTCCATGTTGAGTCAGTTGCTAGTGAGCCTGCAGTTTTACTCGTTAGGGGACAGCTGCTGTTTTCATGGTGTATGGAATAACCAACAGCTCTAAACTATAACATTGCTTTTTTGTTGTTGTTACTATTATAAATATTTATTTTTTAATTTTATAATGAAAAAATGTTGTTTATTTGATGTCAGATAAAGAGAAGAATGACTGTTATGCGTAATTAGCAAATTGGCATGTAGTTAGTGCTCAAATTGACTTCTTAGTCCTTGACTTGTTTTTAGCTTCTAATATTGCTTGAGGGGGAAACAGGCATACTTAAAAACTCAGTGGAACCTGTCTTTGTTTTCTAATGGAACAAGGCAGTAAGAAAGAAAGAATCCATTAAATACTTCTTTCTGAAGTATTTGATTGCCTGTGATGACACTGAAGAAGAATTCTTACTGTCATGAATGTATAGTTGAAATTAAAAAATCTAGCATTTCAATGTTACCTGTGGAAAGGTGACCTTAAAAGTAGTAAATCTGGTGGTATCGGAGCCCTGTGTATGCTGCTGACACTACGTTCAAGGAGGAGTTTGAAAGAAACATTTCAGACCTGTAAATAATGCGCTGCTAGCTCATTCCTTGTAATCTGTAAACAAAATAGTAAATCTCCTGTCTAGAAGAACAAATTTGCAACTAAAAATGTCATCGTTTATGGCTGCTGACAGAGCGCATGGAGTTACAAGCTGACAGTGCTTTGGTGTTTGTGATGTGTGGGCTTTTTTTTTTGTTTTGTTTTACTACAGGAACATTTCAGTGAAAAATGGCAGAAAAGTAACGTTAGCTTTACTGCTGCCAGCCAGTAAATCTTGAAATCTTAATGTTTAAGGCTGGCTACTCCATCCTTGTTAATGTTGTTAGATTTATGTATTAAGCCAGCATTTATAGAGATTGTGCATGGAAGCTCTCCATCTCTGTCAGCTGTTCTTCAGCCAGCAGTCATTAAACATTTACCTGGCCCAGATAACAAGCACCTGTTTGCATCTGCTGTGGGCCTGGAGGCAGGAGGGGAGGACTTCATAAACCAGTCCACCAATGTGACCTTTAAAACAAGAATACTAATGCTGAGAGTCTTCCAAAATATTGCTGCATTGTAGAACTGGATCGGTGTTTAAGTGGAAAGGGAGCTCCACCTGTTAGTCTGAAGGTGAAGTTAATCTAGCAAATTTTAGAACAAGCTGAAAGTAGAGCTTCACAGCCAGATTTTTCTTGATTGTAGCAACACATTTCTTTCTCATAAGGCTTTTCTGTCCTGTTTTCATGCCTTCTTAGCCATTGGAAAACATAAAGGACATGCTGGTATTTGCTTGGTCTTTGTCCTTTCCTCAGATGTTGTAACAGTTTGAACAGATTTCACACTTTTGGTAAGGGGTGGGTATTCAGTCACGTGTTTGTAGGAAGAAATCAAAAAGGTGAATGTCTTGTCTGACAGTGTGAGCCCTTTTCCTTTGTTTGTTGTTGTGTTTTTTTTTTTTCCTTTCATCTCAACCTGGAATATGAACTCTT